TCCCCCTCGCCTATTTCTCCCTCCCTCTCTCCGATCCACTCTCCGATCTCTCTCGTCTCGGCCGACCGACCACTCACCAAACACCGACCGTTCATCAAAAACCGACTCCCTTCCCACTAAAACCGACCAAAAACCGACCCCGACCACTCACCAAATTCCCGACCACAAAAACTGACCACCTGCTCACCAAAATCTGACTAAAATGGCATAAAAAACCAGCTCTGCTTCCTCAACTAAAACGCCCATTTCCCGAACAGTTATCGACGACGCAACGGAATCTGCTGAGGTAATATTCTTATTTTACTTTTTCTTATATATTTTGCAAGAACAAAAACTTAATATAAGCAACATTGGTCTGTTCATAGTCGGTTCTTAGTCGGTTTTGGTTCTGGTCTGTTCTCAGTCGATTCTAGGTCGGTTTTAAGTCGATTCTAGTGGTCGGTTCGTAGTCAGTTCTTGTCGAGAGGGGTCGGTTCTGGTCGGTTCTTGGTGAGATCAGTTCTTGGTCGGTTGGTGGTCGGTTCTTGGTCGGTTTAGGTCAGTTTTGGTCGGTTTCGGTCGGTTCTGGTCGATTTTGGTCAGTTCTGCGGGGATTTTGGGTCGGGTCATGGGCGGTTCAGTCGGTTCTTGTTGGTTTCTCTGTCTATTCTGGTCGGTTCTGTCGTTTTGGTCGGTTCTGACCGGTGTGTTTTTTCTTCTTTTTCAGTATGACCTCCCAAAGTACAACACAAGTGAACTTCTTGGGATCGAACATCTAAAGATGATCATGGATCCTGTGAGGCAGTATTTCCCAGTGAAACTGACTATGAAGTCAAAGATCGAGGCTTTGGAGGTAATCAGGCAGAATCTAGACCCCGAAACAGAAATGCCAATTGAAAAGTTGAAGAGGCCAGTGACTCCTAGTATATGAAATGTTAGTTGTTTTGGTTGTAAAATAGATACACAACATTATTGCAATATGTTTATTATTGGCATTGCATTGCATTTATAATTTATCATATTCAACAATCTATTTTGGCTCGGGGGAAGCTTATATTTATGGGAAAATGCTGCCCAAATATTTACACAATAATGTATGTTTTTTTTTATTTGAAAACATCAAATCAGTCCTGAAGATTGCAAAATGCGTGTTTCATTGTAAAATTAGGGGTTTTATCGGGGGGGCACTAGTACACCACCTCTCCTCCCCTCTCCCTGTCGGGAGAGCTTCAGGTAGTCCGCCCTTTCCTTCTAGTCCAGCTGGAGTTCTAACATAGACCCTCTCTAAAAAAAAAGTGTGAACCTCGGTATTGTATTGCTATTGGTATCGCTCCTGGAAGCCTTTCGAAAAGTAAACTATGCTCTTACCCTAAAAAAAAGAAAAGTAGGGATACCTGGATAAAGGCACTAACGCTTAAAGTCTTAGACTGGTGATCTACTACCACCCTTCACTACGTCCATAACCCCTCGCTCCAACTGAACGGAGTCTACCCTTGACCTTTTCCTTTGTCAGACCTAGCCTATCGATCAAAGATCCTACGCATCATTATCCTACGCTAGGCATGTAACGAAGATTCTCCCGCTTTTGGTAACTGGGATTCAAAGAAGGATTAAAAGATTTATTGAATTCCGTTCCGTCAGGGGCTGTTTCAACAGCAATAGCAGGAATAGTAATCGAATCACCGGCAATGCTAGAAGCAGCCGAAGTCGTTGCATTAGTGGCATGAGTAATCTCAACTGGAGCAGGGAAACTAGAAGGAAGTGGTGATAAAACTGCCATAGTAGGAGCTGCCGGCGGAGGAGTCACAGGGGTGACACGCTCCTCAGTACGCACCACAGGGATGAAAACCATATCATCATAAGAAGTGCCATTAGTAGAACCTGGAGACTGGATAGTAGCAAACGGAAATGATAATTCATCAAAGATCACATGCCTGGAGATGAAAACACGGCCTTCGAATTGATGACCAACCTGCTTCCTTACCTTTCGTAACCTAGCATTCATGATTCACCGAACATGTAAACCTCACCGAATAGATGGTTATATAGGTCAACCATAGAGATGGAGCCCGGCCACATCCTTTGAAATGGAATGCTTGTTTGGAACAGCCAGATATTGGGATGGGAGACGTGCCAAGAACAGGCATATAGTGTGGATGGCTCTAAGCTCAAGACTCCGCACTTAGTTCGAGGCGTACATGTCTGAAAAGATAAAAACTATGCCTTTTACGACTTCGTCCTTATGGAAGATCTGGAGTATGCAGCCCTACTTAGGTTAGGCTTTCCACCATCAGGCCTTTTGAAGTCGGAAGAAAGGGAGGCATTCCCATTTTGGGCGGAACAGATCTACTAATTCTTTGATTCCAGTTAGTAAGAGGGATCTTGAACTAAGAAATAGGTTCTAGAAGCTAAAAAAGGGTATCCTGAGCAATTTCAATAATCGGGTTCATTGATATTCCTGGTATAGTAGATGCTATCACACATACAATCATACTCAATTCGATGGAATTGTTTGATCACAGACCAGAACCGACCAACCTAGCAAAAACCGATCAGAATAGACCAAGAACAGTTCTTGCAAAAAAATTAGAAAACATACATTTTTTTCATATTTTTTAGACTTTTTGGGTATTAATAAACATTATAGTTTATAAAAGTGAAAAAAAAATTGGTTAGAAATGAGAAAACCTAGAACAGACCAAGAACAGACTCTTGTAAAAAATTAGAGAACATACAATTTTTCATATTTTTTAGACTTTGTTCTTGGGGGCACAGAAACGTGTGCCTTGTGCGTGGACTGGAAGTGAGAACGAATGACAAAACAAAATGAATACCCTTTCTCCATCCATCGGGATGTTTCTACACTGCCTGTGAGGGCATCCAATGACCACATTTTCATGGCGGGCGGGACCCACAAACGGGTCGGTCTCGCCAAGAAGCGGTGCCGGTGCCAAGTGTTCTTTTTTCCTTTTTTTTCCCTCTAATTTTGAAAATGTATATCAGTGGAATTTTGCTAAAATCAGACCACCGGGCGGAAACGGGGCGGGTCAAAGCGGGGGTTAAATCATGTAATCATGTTGTAGTTTTCAATTTTGTTTTTAATTCGATTCTAATAGGAACACCATATAATTGCACTATCCTTTTTTTCCTTCTATTTTGCAAAAAATCTAATAGAAAATACTAAATGGGATTGATTTACCACACGTAATACAACGCGTGAGTTTTAAAATTTAGAAAAAAAATTAAAAATAACCTCAAAATTTAGAAGTACTGATGAGATTAAGTTTAACCCATAGATATAAATAAATACAAAAAAAAATTAAATATCTTTTAGTCTTTTTAAGTAATACTAATGACACCAACTTAAATCTCAACTTTATTACCCATCTCTCTATCTCATTCTCACCTTTCTCCCTCCCTCTCTCTCCTTGTGTGTTATCTCTCTTTCTTGACTCTCTCCGCTGCTCGCTTTCTCTCTCAACTCACTCACTCTCTCTCCATGTATCTCTCTCTCTCTATCTATCTCTCTCGGCTCGACTCGCTCGCGCTTTCTCTCTATTCTCACTTACTCTTGTTGCTGACGATTTCTGCAACGTGCGAGATTCTCAGTGGGAAAGGTCGGCCAGAGCATGACGAGGATCAATGGTGAATGAAGGATCAGAGAGAAGAGAAAGGAGGTCGAACAATGTGAGGGAAAGGTGTTTTTGTTTTTGTTTTTATTTTAAATAATAATGTCTAAATATGTCGTTATTTCTCATACTCTAAAAATCTGTTATAAATTTTTAATTCTCACTTTAAAATATGTTATTTTTCTCCTACTTTTCTTTTCTTCAGGCAAAAGATTCTCTACTTTGTAGACCAAATATGGTAAAAAAAACATCTTTAGATCATCTTCAATTTAATGTTATAATTAATGTGTCAATTGTAAATTTAATATTTGAGCGTAAAAAAACACTCTTCAATTCAATGTTATTTATTGTGTCAAATTTCTCATATGCGATACTTTATTGATTGCTATTGGATGAACTTTTTTATTTTTTCATGTAATCATTGCAACTTTCATATGTTCTAATTACTTTAAAAATAAAATATTACTTTTACAACTTTAAAAGCTTAATGATGATGGGAAAATATAGATTTACCATTTCAATTAACATTATTCATTATAGTAAAAATGAAAATAACATACTATATCATACTTTTTGATACCAAATATACAATTGACATTAGCACTTACATTATAGATGGTTGCTGATGCCCAACAAATCGCAAGGTACGGATTCGGCCCAAGCCCTACAACACGACTCAAGGTATGGTACGTGGACCCAAGCTACGCATTGGAGACTTCTACGTGGGCTGTGGTTTGGTAGGCCAAGGAACGTGAACGAGCCCATTTTATCCAGTCCGATTAGCTCTCCTACTTAAGGGAAACTCTTCTCTTCTCATGGTGTCCGGTGGAGCTCCTCTGAGCAAGTAATGCTCGGGCGTTCTTCCCCAAGCTAAACACACATCAAAACCCAACATCAACAACCTAAATACAAGCCAAAAACCTCATCTTTTGCTAGTTACAACTCTTGGTTTTTCACTTACCGAAATACTCCTCGGAGAGCTCTAATCTCTATAACTTCCAGTGGAGTTCCTCTAGAACATGTTTCTAGGCGTTCTCCCCATTGGACTGTTAAAGCTTTGGATAACCTCTGAGAATACCCAACCATGGCTTACAACACCCAAAGTTCATTTCTGTCAACCGACGTGCTACGTCCGTCGAAATCGTTCTATTCACAAACAAATGTATATAATTCAATTACATGCTTAGGAACTTTCTCCATAAACCGGTTACATTCCTCTCTCACGCCATGTGCTCACTAGAAGTCTTCATCGGAAACTCTTCACTATCTTGGAGCCGGAATCGCAACGGATGTCACCCTCGGATACCGCTGTCCTTAGAGTCATCCGGGTTTAGCCTAACCCAACCGGGGCCAACATCTTCACTTGGGCCATCTTCGACGTCAAAAATCACACTTAGAAGCTCATTAGCCTCATTGTTGGGGCTCTTTTGGCGCGGGCCAGTCGTGGAGGGTGTGAATTTTAAGAAAGTGTTTAGTATAAAGATTTATGATATGGTTCGAATTATAATTCATAATTAACTACAATATTTTTTTCATAAAAATTATATATAAATTAAAAATAATTTTAAATTCATAAATAATTTTAAATTTTTGGAGAGGATTGACGCGATAAGGAAGAAATCACACGTACGACGGTCGGAGCCACCTGTGACTCAAACAAAAGCACACAAATCTCAACCCCACGTAACGTACACATGCATTGCTCGATTACATTACACCTGTGGTCCCATCAATTTCCCCCGTTTTTCTTTTTCTTCATTCCTCTTCCTTAATACCAACTCTTTTTCTTTTTCCTTCTAAGTAAATCAAAATCTCTTTCCTTTTTCTTTTCTTCTCTTTTCTTCATCGCCGATCTCAGATCTCTCTCCCGGAACCCTAGAAACCGCCATGGATACACCAGCTACGAAGCTCCGGATAATGTGCAGCTATGGCGGCCACATAGTCCCCCGCCCCCGCACCAAGTCCCTCTGCTACGCCGGCGGCGACACCAGAATCGTCTCCCTCAACCCTCTCAACACCACCACTCTCTCTTCGCTCGTCTCTCATCTCAGTTCAAGCCTCTCGATCCCCGCGCCGTTCTCTCTCAAGTACCAGCTCCCCAACCACGACCTCGACTCCCTCATCTCTCTCCTCACCGACGACGACCTCCTCATCATGCTTGACGAGCTCCAACGCCTTTCTTCATCTTCCTCGTCTTCTTCGTCGCGAATCAGACTTTTTGTGTTCTCGGCGAAGGCGGAGACGAAGACCGCTCAGTCGGTGATTCAGCACCCGAAGACGGAGGCCTGGTTCGTCGACGCGCTGAAGAGCGCCAAGATTATGCAGAAGGGGAGGAATTGCCTGCTAGGGCTTGAGGGCGAGGCTCAGAGCGAGGATTTGATTGGGAATGGGATTGGTTCTTCTTCTATGGCGGAGTCGATGGTGTTGGAGACTAGCTCGTCGTTTGGGTCAACGTCTTCTTCAACTTCTTTGACTAATTTGGCTCCGGTCAAGTCTAATGTTGAGGAAGGTACTACTGGAGTGCAGGATTGCAAGGTCAAATTTATTTCTTCTGACGCTATTGCAAGGTACTCTGACTTGCGTATTCGGTTGATATTTTATTTGATTTTGACGTTTTCTTTGTTATTTCGTGATGTTGAAGGCTCGTATATTATGAAGGGATTGATATATCGATATCTTTGTTATCAAGTTTTCATGAGTATTTCACAAGAATGATAGCTCTCTTTTTTTTTTTTTTTTGAGTAATTTTCAATTGTTTCGTTTAGAGCCTCAATATCTTCGTCGACAAGTACCATTATAGGCGCCAATTTCAGTTTAGAATTTCAGTTTTATTACGATAAAAAAACTCCCCGAAACAATCACATTTAAATTTTTACTAACTTTTTACTACAGCTCAGCACATCTCAACCCAATTTGAATTAAAACTTTGAATCAGCGAACTAAACAGGCCGATAGTTTATTTTCTATACGACGGAGGAAAAGTAAAATGACAGTGAAATTTGGACTTTTGACACTTTTTTAAATCAAATTTCGTTTTATAGTATTTCAGCCCAAAAAAAAAAAAGGTTATAGTAAGATAAAGCACATGCTGAGACTCTAGCAAGGCTTGATACTGTAGTTCCAAGAAGGTTATTTGATACTTGACATTCACGTTAAGAATAACATTTGTTTAGGAGTTTCCTCAACAAACACAAACAGGGCATTCCAACTTTACAATGCATTTTGTTTGGAGCAGTTGCATAATAATTGTAGAGGATCTGAATAATTATAGAGGACCTGATTTGGGTGTTTGGCGTTTGATATAACAGCGAAAGTAGTGTTCCAACTGTCACTTATTGCCCGCAAACTGGAGCTTATCAAGACCCTGCTAATGCCGTTCATCATGCTGCTTCAACGGATAGGGTTTGTTCCAACCTCGGTGAATTGGATATTAAAGGGTCTGATGCTTTCTCTGGGATTCAGGTGCATAATACAGTTATGGCCTCCACGTATCCTTTGGAACAGGTGCAGCAACAGAAGGCGCAATGCGTTCAATTGGATTCGCCTTACATACCACAGAATACTCCAGGCTTCGTTCCAATTTCATCATTTTATCCACTATATCACACACAGATGCCTCAGCAACAGCTTATGCAATTCCAATATCAGCCCAATCAGCCGCAGCCCGTTTACTTATTGCCAGTTGCACCGACTCAAGCCTACAATTTGCCTGGGTATGCTGGTTTTATCGAAAATCCAGCTATGACTTCGAGTCAAACTCCGGTGCTCCTGAATCCGTCGTATGTACCTCCCCCACAAGTTGTTCAGAATGAGCCCTCACAAACTGATATATCGCCTAATTTAGCCTCACATTTTCACAACACAGCCCATTCTGCAATACAACTCGTGGCAGCAGCACCGCTACTTCCTGTACCATATAATGAAAATCAGCAACAATCATTGGGTCTTCTTGAGACGCAGCACCAGCCACAGTCTGTTGCGGTCCCTTATAGAGAATCTCCTAAACTTAATAATGAGCCAGATGATGACCCTGCACATATTCAAATATACAAATCTCAGCCTCCACCTCCCTCATGCCCGTCACAGTTCCAAACCATGAACAAAAAAACAGCGGTGCTGTTGTCGGAGGCATTGGATCATTTGCATAGACAGTCTTAAGCAACAGAATAGAACATCTCAGCCACAATGATTTTGTTTCCGACTTGTGAGATGGAAAAGTTTTGGTAGAGTGTTATGGTATTTTCTTACCCTTGTTTGGTTCCTTGTTTTGTAACGACATATATTTTCTATTTCCAGTAGGCATAAACAATTAGTTTCTTCGTCTTACTCTTAGAGGATTGTTTATTTTGTCATTTCCAAATGTTTCCCTCTATAGCAGAAATCAGAGAGCAATAATGTAAAAGTTAATTCTGTGTAAGAGTGTGTTTTAAAATATTATTATTTTTTATACCGTGTCTCGAGTGCTTGAATTACATCATTGATAAGAAGGACGCTGAGTGAGAAGCCATGCAAGTTTTTTATTTTTATTTTTAAGAATTACTTCTTTTACTGTATAGGTAAACGGATTTGATTGTCTGTTTTGTTATATTATTTTCTGATTGTTTACAAAAAAGTTTCAATCAAACAGGGGTTTATTGGAAAATTGTGCTATATTTTTCATACTGTGAATATATTCACTTGTTATTTAAGCATCTCATTTTGTGCAAAAGGTTATGATCTGTTATGAATGATGACAATCACGTCATAACGGCCATGCTTTTGTGTATGAATCTTGTTGCTGGGCCAGTTGTTTGGTGCCTCCTTCGAGACAAGTCTCCTTCTTTTACCCATGCTGCCATAACAGGTGAAACCTTTTCTAGTGATTAACATTCCATCATTCTATATCGAGGAAGATCAGAATCACTTTATTGTTGAATGACTTGTTTTACACATAACAACCTTTGTTTAAAAGGTTTCAATTTGTCTCATTATGGCTAACTCGGTAAGTTTTGTCGATGAATTTACAGAACGACATCAGCTGACTTTGCTGGGGCAACGAAAGATAGGGAAGCAGCCATGCGTTTTAAAATCGTTGTTGAAGGTTTGATTCGAGTTATTGGGATCACTGATATGCACTATTAAACGTAGTAGCAAGAAAGTTACTTCATAGGTGCAGAAATTACTAGAACCATAAAGTGATGTGAAATACGAACATAGGGTAAAGTCTTAGCACCCCTTATTCCACTAACCTAGAGAGAGACTTGCATCTTGGCCTTATCATTTCGTTAGGTTACTGAAATTACTTGGGAGTTTAAAAGTGTAGATCAGTAGATGGGTCTCTTTGATCAGTCTTAAAAGTTCATCAACTGAAAGCTGCATCCTGAAGAAGAAATTCTGCTACTCTTAACTGATTCTTCTCATCTTGTCTGTGTGATTGTTCTTCCAATGTTGTTATTCCCCTGGCAAAGCTAATGGCAGTATTTTAGTGTCCTACTCATATCAGTTCTTGGAAAGTATTTCAAATTTGTTTTCTTTTACGCACTTTTAACTCACACTATTCTTTTTTCTGCATCATTTAAATTTAAACAATTCAACGATGATCAAGCACCATATACATGGTTAGTTTTCATTCTTCTACGGCTTCATACCATTGGCGGTATTTTATCTCAAAGGTTGACTTACGATGCAAAATGTTCCAGGGTAGTATCGGTTGTGGTGATCTTTGGTTTTTCTTTATCCTATTTTACCTGCTTTGGTAGTAGGCAGCCACGTAGAACGCATCAGGCTAAATTCAACGCGTGGGACCGCTTGGCATTTGTCATTAAATTTCAGACAAATTTTGAAGCTTCAGTTTTGGCTCCTTTCCTCGTAACTTCTATATTAAGAATGAATTTTGGTCAACAGTTGTTGTTGGTCAGTTTTATTTCGTTGAAAAAATTATGATGACGAACAGGATGATGGTTACTTGTTTCAAGCGCCGGGAAGATGTGTATGCAATCAATGGTCTTAAAAACTGGTTTTGCTCATCTCCTGGTACAGGGCATAATGGCTCATCATTTTTTCAACAGCATTTCCTTATCCGTACGAAGAAAAACTTTGCAGTCTTTCGGGAAGGGGAAAAAAAAAAAAAGAAAAAACAAAACTTTATTTATTCCATCATAAGTGGACATTTATCCTACTGTGCCAGCTCTCTTATTTATTCAATTCACTAGGGAAAATGCAGTGATCAGCGGGAAAAAAAATAAATAAAAGAAAAGAAAAAGAACAGGGAATAGAAAAATTTCATGAGTACAAAAAACTAAGAAGTTGCCGAACTTGTGATGGAACTAAAAATCATTAGGTGCCTATTTGACACTTCCTTGTCTTCTTCAGTTCCTTGGAAGCATTTTCGCCTTATTGGAGTTGCCAATATGTGGATTAGATTAGCCCAGTCTGGCCAAAACCTCGCAAACGTACCTCATTGAAGGTCTCTTTTCAGGGCTTTTATGGACGCAGGCAAGAGCAACGTTAAGCACCGCAATTATTTCGTCTTGCATGTCCAAGTCATGAGCTAGGAAAGGGTCCAACACATCCAGTAGAGGCTTGCCTTCTTCAATGCTGAGATGGAACCATCGAACTATATCCATCTCCACGGAACCAACTTGTATCAGTGGAAACTTTCCGGAAATCATCTCCAGCATAATCACTCCAAACGAGTAAACATCCCATTTCTGTGATGGTTTTCTGGCACTCGACGCTTCCGGAGCTTTATAGTGAGATCCTACCGCTACCGCAGGCGAACTTACTGGCGTCGTCGCGAGTTCGTACGGCAGATTCTGCGGTGGTGTTTCGGATGTGTTTTGTTCAAAATGGAATAATGGGGATTCTCCAGATATGTTGGCGAGACGACATAGTCCCAAGTCGGAGATTTTTGGTTGCATGTTCTGTCCAAGCAGTATGTTGCTCGGCTTTAAGTTCCCGTGGACATATTTTTTCGGACTGCACTCGTGGAGGTGATTCAAACCGTTTGCTGTTCCTTTGATGATTCTCAGTCGAACAGGCCAAGAAAGTGGTGTGAAGAATACCATCCCAGCTTTCCCTAGTCATCAGTTTTTCCAACAAAAGGTTCAGTCCAATGGAAAATAGAAAACCAACCAATAAGAAACGTAAATTAGGAAGAATAGTTCTATTACTATCAGTACTTGAAAGAAATCAAAAGGTGAAACAAAACAAACTAACGTCTAAGAAAAGCAAATTAGATTGGCCGTGCAGGGATGTGAAAGTTACCATGAAGTGCTGTGGAAAGGTCACCATTAGCCAGATACTCATAAATGAGCAGTTTCTCTTCAACAGACCAACAATAAGCTCTAAGAGAAACAATATTTGGATGCTTGATCTTTCCAATGGCTTCCACTTCAGTTTGATAGTCCTTGAACCTTTGAGAACCTCCTTCACCCAATCTTCTCACTGCCAAGGTAAACCCATTTTCAAGAACAACTTTGTAGACAATTCCGAATCCACTTTTCCCGAGCAAAAAAGCCGATGCCGTTAGAAGTTGGTCGAGAGTGAAATCAATTTGCTGGTCCAACCTCACAAAGTTGTACTGCTCCATATTTTCTGAAGGAGTGTCCAACGCATCTTTTGCAAAGCAGAAAATGTCTTTCCTCACTATTGATGTCTGTTCAATGTTACATCCACCAATCATTTTACCTCCTTTTGAAGTATAAACCTTCTTGTAGGTATAGAAGAACAACCACCCAAAGAAGCAGGTTCCAAGAATGATCCCTGTGACTATAAGAACAACAAAACCCAAGTGGAAATGCTTCCTACCTTTAGCAGATTTTCGACCTACATTTATTGAGGGGTGATCAATCAAGGATTGAGAATTTATGTCGTCGGTGTTCGAAGAACACGGAAGTTTCAATGGTGGTCCACAAAGAAAAGGGTTGCCTATAAAAGCCGTTGGTCCTGCGCTAAGAAGATTATCTACTTGAGGAATTGGTCCACTGAGATTGTTGTAACTTAGATCAATGTAAACTGAGAGAGGAAGTTTTCCTAGGCTTTCGGGAATACGACCCGTAAACGAGTTGTGGGACATGTCGAGGGTCGCTTTTAAAGTTACCAAGTTGCCAAAGTCGAGAGGGATTGAACCAGTAAGTATGTTGGAGGAAAGATTGAGTTTCTGAAGAGTAGTCAGATTAGATCCTAAACCATTTGGAAGAGGACCAGAGAAGAAGTTTTTGTCAAGGGAAAGCGTTTTAAGTCTCTTACACTGAATTATAGAGGAAGGTATTGAACCATTGAATGAATTGTGAGAAAGATCCAAGTGCAACAGATGATTGAGCTTCCCTATTTGTGGTGGAAGAGGTCCAGATAAGGAATTCCCGGTGAGGTTCAAGCTTCTTAGCTCGGTTGCGTTGAAGAGATCCGATGGCAAGCTTCCAAAGAGAATGTTGCCTGGGAGATTCAAATGACGAATCGCGGAGAGCTTTCCGAGATCAGACGATAGAGTCCCGGAAAGTGCCCGGTTTGGAATGCTGAGGGAGGAAACTCTCTGTTGCTTGCATGCCACTCCAAGCCAAGAACACGGAGTTTCATCAGACGAGTTCCAGCTCGTAAAAAAGCTTTCTGGGAATTCTTTCAACGACCCTTTAAAGGAAAGTAACGCGAGCCCTTCTTCATTCAGAGAGTCCACAAAAGCAGGACAGTTCCAGAGAAGCAAAATCAAGCAGCAAAGTATTGAAAAAGCCATCCTTGAAAAGGTAGACTTAACGCAGAAAAAAAAAAAAAAAACAGAAAGAAGCAAAAGGGGATTTAAATAAAGTCTCCAAAAATAATTAAAGAGAAAACAAAGACAAACTAAAAAGAGACTCACCGAGCAAGTTTCTCTTTTGCAGGATCTTTACACGAAAAAAATAAAAAGAAAAAAATGCATGGATTTGTATTCTCTATTAAAATGCATGGATTTGTATGGTAATTAGTGGGCATATGTCTTTCTATCTATAACTCCAGAATGGACTCTTCTTTTTCATGATTTTGTGACCAGTCTGGTTTACAGAATTGGAGCAGCAGTAATAAGGATGTATGCCATGAGGTAATTCATTACAGTTGAATGGAAAGGTGGTCCTTCATATAAAATTATAGCGCGATTGGGGGCGATGTCTGGTATTGATTGGCGGTGAAAGAGCAAATGGAAAATTTTCTAACGACGGTTTGACTAATGTATTGTGTTGTGTGGTCCAACAATAATCATGTAAATGTGTTGCACTATAACTTGACTTGCTTTCTGATTATGTACGTAGGAGACGGGTGTCTAGACGTGTTGAATAATTTAGGCCCCGTTCGTTTCGCGGATTCGAGTTTTCAATTTGAGTTGAGATGTGACATTTTCTGAGAGTTTTTAACTGTAAAAACTTAAAATTGAAAACTCAAATCGGTGAAATGAACGAGATTAACTTTAAAATTAGCCCGAAAAATGATATGACACTAAATAATAATAATAATAATAATAAATAGAAAAAGCCCTTGTCACTTTGTTTTTTGGCTTTTGTCTAGTTATACAAAAATGCAAATTTAGGCGAGGAAAAGAAAGAGAGAGAGAAAAAGTTCCACAAAGACTCTTTAATGGTTGAAGCGATCAACATGACTCGTCATTAGTCTAAGGATTACTCGCTACAGCTATCTAGACGGTAATAATACGATTCCAACTTGCCATGTTTGCTACGGCCTCTGATAGTTTACCCTTGAGGAAGAAAATATTGATGATTACTCGTGATATATAATGCATACGTTTGGAAATGGTAACTGGAAAATTGATCTTTATATCTGCTTTTAGAAAGATGTATGAACAAAAAGGAGAATTTCGGGTAGGGTAAGACAAAAATCTATTGGTAGCTAGCCACGGTTTTAAACTGAACCATCATGTTTTCATGAAGTGCCGTTAAGCTATCATATATGATAATTTATATTAATTTGATATGATTTTGATGTGATCTATTATATATGATAATTTATATTAATTTAATATAATCCTGATGCGATCTAACGATTTAAATTGTATTTTTTTAATAATTTTGCTTTTAATTTTATACAGTGCCACAAAATTCTCCAAACAAAAAAGTGTAACTAGACAAACAAAACTTATAATTTTACATTCCTCTGCATCATCTTTTTGGAATTCAATATTTACGATTTACCACTAACATATTTTTAAAACGGGCAAGTGTGATCGGTTTCTTTATCATTGCTAAGCTTGATCACCTATTTTTCTATGTGACTGTGCATTCTTTATTACAAATTAACACAGCTTCTACCTTCGGTTATGGTGACACTAAGGGCTTGTTCTTTTAGAGTGTGACTTGAGTGTAGTTTTTGAGTTGAATTTGAGTTATAACTTAAGTTGAAGTTGTAACTTGAATAAAATTGAGTAAAGTTGAATAAAGTTGAAACTTAAAAGAACGTGAACTTAAATAAAACTGTAACTTAAATTTAAATTTTTTCTGAGTTTTGTTGTAAAAGAACAACTCCTAAATGTATTACGTAATTTATTGGCCATGTTTGTAGATAAAAAGCACTTGAGGAGAGTCAAGGGAGACAGTTTTTCTTTTTATGCATTTTCTTTCTCTTCCACGTTTCACTTTGTTGGCGATCACAAGATCTTTTAATAATCTTCTTTAACGAGTCAAATCATGCATACATCTTTTTTCTTTCAGGGGAAGTGCCAAGAAATAAGAAAGTTAACTTTTATCCATATATGCTTCGAAATGATTATTTCCAACCTCGTCTTTTTCCTGTTTCAAAACCATTGTCACATCTAAAAGGCAAAAGTGAAAAACAAGGTCCAACAAAGGAATCAAATTCCATGACTTCAGTTCATTGGTACTTTACAGATCAAGAGAAAAAGTACTAAAGTCTGTAATCTGTATAAACCTGATAGATAACACGTAGGAAAAATTCTTATAAACACTCACACACGCACACAAATGAAGTTGCATACTCTGAGTAGCTCAAAAGAACATATCACAAGTCACAACCAATGAGGCCTTTTTCATCAATAAGCAAAGCCAGAGGAGAATACTTTATCAAATGCTCAAAAATATTCAGCACACAATTATATACATCAATGTCTGACTCACCTCACAGCTTGTCAATCTGATTGAGGCCTGACTTATTCAACCTGTAGCTCTTTCAGCTCCCAACAATGGAAATATATAAGGGTTGGTTTGTTAACTTGGCCAAGGAGCAATGTAGAAGATGTACGGAAGCTCAAAAATTCTTGTCTGTCTTGCCCTTGAAGAACTTGGCAATCAAAGGCATTACCTGCGTTCTTTTCTTGACGGGGAAAGAATTCCGAGCCGCCGGTGAGGCAGACTTTCGGAACTTAGCTCGCCTAGATGGAGTTAAGTTTGCATTGCCATTGCCTCTTATGGACTTCTTATGCATTGCAAGTTGCAAGTTTTCTGGCGTCGCATTCTTTTCCCGTTTTGTTCTCCAACTTTGCAGCTCTCTCTCGACTGTCCTCTTCGCAGAAAATGACCTCTCCATTCTGTAGGCCTCTCTCTCTTCTTCCAACCTCATCTCTCTGATCTCTCTTTGAGCAAAGTCTATCTTCATCAAGATTTCCTTCTCATTGGCCTTAATAGCTTCAATCCATGCTTGAGCAGCTGCAACCTTTTTATCAGCAAGCTCTTCAGCTCCAACAGCGCGTCCTGTCAAGTACTCGTATTCGAAGTTCGAGATGGTAATTGAGGAACTATGCTTCAGCACAGAAGTTCTAGCTCCTACTGTATTCTCAATCCGAGATTTTAGATTTTTAAGAGCCAAAGCTTCTGATGACTTGGCTGCTTCAAGCTCTTGCATTGCAGCTTGCAATCTTTCCTCAGTTGAATCTATTTCTGACTCGGTTCTTCCAATTTCTTCCTTGATGGTTGCAGCCTCTTGACATACGAGCACCTTTTCTCTCCTTGCGGTTTTGGCTTCAGTCTTGAGCTGTTCAAGGGTGAGAGATAGATTGGACACTATTGATTTAGCCTTTTCCTCGGCAGCAGATACAGCTTCCAACTTGGCTTTTGCTCTAAGGAGCTTTGAATTTAGATTTTGTACAGCTAAATCTCCTTTCTTTTCTATTTCCTCCAATCGAGCTGTTTCCTTCTTCACATGTTTCCGCTCATTTCTTATGATATCCATTGAGGCCATGTACTGAAAACCTTCCGCTTTCAATGAAGCCAGTTCTTTCTTTGCTGCCTCTAATTCTTCAGTGACTGATTGCAAAGAAAGTGAAGAGTCCAATTCCTCACCTCCTCGAAAACTTGTTTCCAAGCGCTTCAAGTTGTCATTTCTCTGAATTCTCTTTTCCATTTCCTTAACCGATTGCAATTCATTCTGTAACATATCAACATCAGCAATTGTGATTGCCAACTTGGATTCAAGCTCTTTGGAGTGCTCAACCTCATCAACAATGTCATTAATTTTCCTCCTTGTTTGTTCAATTGCACTCGCAAATTGACTGGCTTCCTTTGCTCTCTCAGCTTCAATCTCTCCATACTCTTTCAATGCCTCAATCCGGGCCAACTCAACCAGCACTTGCTCCTCATTCACCTCCTCAGTCTCCTTCTTGACTGCCTCCAAAGAGCTCGAATGCGACCTGATTTTCGATCTCGATGCCTCAATTTGCTTCTCTGCCCGCGATTTCTCTTCCAAAACCGAAGCCATATCAAGTTTAAGCATACGCAATTCCTGCTTTACTGCTTCCAATTCCTTCATAACTTCTGAATACTTGTGAGTCTCCATATCCCCAAACGCCAATGCCCTTTTATCCTTCCTTGTTGATTTCCTCAAAGTAGTTTCAATCTCCTGCTTCTGTGCCTTAGCTTTGGAGTCAGATTCTCTGAGCAATGAAGAGAGATTTGTCACCGTCGTCTTCGCATCCAAGAGCTCAAATTCCGCTTGTGCTTTCAAAGAGTCGGCTTCCGCTCTTGTCTCTTTATATCTATCTATATCCCTCCTTGCCATATGTAGTTCTCTAGTTTTTGAATAAGACTTCTAATGAATTTTATCAAAAAAATACAGACAAAAAACAAAAATCAGAAGAAATTCAGATGGGTTTTCTCTTGCATAGTAAAAACAACAATGTTAAGAGGTTGGTAATTTAGTTGTCTAAAATCATACCTCAGAAACATCAATTTCTGGTTTCTTCAATGAAGACCTGCCGTTAAGAATCTTATCACCATACAGTCTAATGGCTGCTTTCACAGACCCAGTTCTTCTTCTGTCATCAAACTCTCCTCTATTCATTATGACCTGTTCAAGTTGAGACATACTTAACACAAACTTGTTCTCATTTTCTCCTTAAAGTTCCTAACTTTCTTTTAAGCTCAAATTGGAATCTGGGTTGTATTTAAAAAATAAAAAAAAAAAAAAATAAAAAAAACACTAAAAACTTCTTCAACCCAACAATTGCAAAGGAAAAAAAAAAAAAAAAAAAAAAAAAAAAAAAAAAAAAAAAACTAGTCTATGAATAACTAGGAAAATTTCACAGAATGGGATAAAGAGAGAACATACTCACAAATGTTTGTCCAAAAAGTACTGTGCTATAAGATAAAGAACATGAGATAAAAATGTGTTCTTCTATCCAAGTTAGAGATTTTGGTTAGTTTTAGAGGTTTGGTTGAGTGTAAAGGGAATATAGATAAAACGGCAAAGGGAGAGTACGTCCTGAATGATGATGATTGGCTGATATATTGGGAAAATCGCCAGCCATTTGATTTATGTATTTTTTGGCTCTTCACAGCCTTTAGATATTATTATTGTTTTCAAATGCTCCTTGGACCTTTCTCAACCCAAAAGCTCCGGTGCAAAATTTTCAATCACAACAAATTCACGTCATACCTATGCTGTTTATAGTAATGTACGTGTGTGTGTGTGTATATATATACGTATGTGTTTATTGGATAGACATATTTTTGTTAGTAATTAAGTATAATTGTTTTATTTTATGTTCATGTTTTGTATCGATGTGGTAATCCATTGGCTTCTATTTTTATTTTTATTTTTGTTTTCACACAAGAAGACCACTATTTTATTTCATTAAGCTTTTTACAATACTTTCTGTAATATTGTTTCATTGTAAATTACTTGTAGCAACGTTGAAGAAAAAAAAATATACAAAACCGAAAATTATTAACAACACTAATTGTTAATGTGGAGCCATAAGGTAGTAAGTGGGATAGACAAAAATTATAACTGTGCACTTAGCATATGATTAAAATTTATAATTATGGCTCCATTTAATAAAAAAATTATCTCTAAGTATTCAATAGTGTCGCCTCTGGAAAACCGTAAATACAACATGGGTGCTTGTTTTCTTCTTCTTCTCTTTTGATTTCTTTTTAGGAAAAATTTCATTTTAGTATCATGTGTAATAGGTATTTTTTATAATATCAATTAGGTATTTCGACGTTTTAGAAAATATTCTTTTTAGTACCATGTGGCAGTTTTTGGGCATAAAATGACAAATTTTCCCTTATTCATAATTTTTCATTTTGTAGATTAGCTTGCAATTACATTGTAATTTCGTTTATTAGCTTGTAATAATTTGTCATTCCATTGATTAGCTTGTAATTACAAGCTAATTAACCCAATAAGAAATTATTAATAAGGGAAAATTTGTCATTTTATGTCCTAAAAAACTGCCTCAAGATACTAAAAAATATTTTCTAAAACGTTAAGGTACCTACTTGATATTATAAAAAACATAAGATACCAAATATATATTTAAGATATAACATAAGGTACCAAAAAGAAATTTTCTCTTTTCTTTTTTGAATCAACAATGCTAGTTGTAGGCCTGTGTCAAAATGAAATAAATCAAGATTAAACTAACTACCAAAAATCATACAATGTAATTTTAAGTTCTTAAAGAAAAATGCCTGTCACAAAATTTTGGTAGTTTTAATCTCTAATATTGAAATTAACCAACAATATATTAAATTTAATGTAGAAGATCACATAATAACTGAAAATTTTTACACATAGCGCGTGAGTGTGTGTCCACTAAGATTCAAATTTGGGTGGTTTCATTTTTGGTGTAAAGTGAGAATCATAGGCACCACATCATATGAAAAGAAAAACAAGAAGAATAAAAAGATTTTGAACATGATATAAATATTTATGTTAAAATTTCAAATATCAAGCGATTCACATATAATTATTTAGATTAAATTTCAGAAATCATTAATCAACTTGAATGTCAAGAACTAAAAAGAAAATTTAGGAGTAATATGTTAAAATTGAAAATACATGGATCAAGGTAGCATTGTGCTCATACTTATAAATTAATTGTTTTAATAACCCTTTAGTTAATTTATATAAAAAGTAATATATCCACTAATTATACAAAAACCATAGATGATATAATTAAAGCTGCGATTCTAACTATGTGCAGGAACGACAAGTTATCCCACAAAATCTAGACCACTAACTAGCTAGCCTGTATATTTTCTAGGTCATGAGTATTATAATTGGGATTCTTTATGATAGAACCCCAAAAAAGTGCTCTACCTGTGGAGTACTGCTTTTTTATTGTTAAATTATTTTTTCAACAGTCACATCTGTAATAAGAATAATTTTATATGATATATTATAAATTTTTAATACGAATCTATATATAGATTTAACAATTAAAAAATTAATCTAACAGTTAAAAAAAAAATGAAACACTTTTTAGAGTTCCACCATAAAGAATCCCATTATAATTTATATGTGCACAGAGGAAACACAATATAGTGAATATCATGAAAAATTGAAGAGATGCGAATAGGTGAATATCATGAAAAATAAAAGAGGTGCGAACAAATAATTAGAGATTTTTTATTGTGGAACCTCAAAAAGTGTTCTACTAGTGGAATACTGTTTTTTTAACTATTAAATTAGTTGTTTAATGATCAAATTTATACAGATTTGTATTAAAAATTTACGGCGCACCACATAAAATTATTCTTGTCATAAATCTGGCTATTAAAAAATATCAAACTTCCCCAATGAAGAATCCCTTTAATTTAAGAAATAAAATTATTCTTGTCATAAATCTGGCTATTAAAAAATATCAAACTTCCACAATGAAGAATCCCTTTAATTTAAGAAATAGACAACGTTGAGCTTGCGAAGAAACCCAAATGAAAACAAGACAAAAAACAGGTAAAATGACATGCTTGGCAGCTGTGAAAGATGATGTGTTTTTGTCGTCGGAGGAAATAATGTTGTCACAGAAAACGAAGGCTGAAGAACAGCCACGAATATAAATGCCGAACCACATTCGCAACAAATTTTTAGATGAATGGTCCCTATTAATTAAGATTTTACCTTTTTTCTTTTTATTTAAAGACAACTAGAATCAGCACCGGAAATAACTAATAACTACTACCTATAATTGTTATCTTGTTTACACCATGATTATAATGCTCATCAAGCTTAACCATCACTGTTATTGATCAGTTGGCTATTATTGTAATGGCCGTTTTATTGTGTGGCGGAGCTAGTAATTTTTTTTTCTTTTTTTTTTTTTTTGTCGGGGGAGACGGGAATTAAAGTAAAATTTTTATTAAAACAATGATATAATTATTTTAAATAAGTTTTATTCAATTTTTAAAATTTACGGTTCTTAATTGCCTATATAATATTGTGATTGATTTTTAGATTATTTGGCATTTTAAAATCAAAATACGAGTATGTCAAAACTCAAACGTTAAAATTTGGAATATTATAACCGAAATTTTTCTAAAAATTTTGATATAGATATTACAAATTGAAAATTTCAGGGAGGGGATAAGAATAAAATTGTAAACAAAAAAAAAAAGGAAGAATAAATACTTATGAGATTAGAATCTTAGGTCAGTTTAGTTCGTTGATTTAAGTTTTTAATTCGAGTTGAGATGTGACTTTATATTAGAGCTTTTTACTATAGTAAAAAATTAGATGTGACTGTTTCTAAGAGCCTTTTACTGTAGTAAAACTCAAATCGGTGAAATAAATAGAGCCTAAAGGAATTACTTGCGTCAGCGAAGATAGATGCCGTCAGTGGGCCCAACAAGGCTTCGTCATTAGTCTATAATTTGATAAGGCATGCCATGAGCAGTGATGGAACTTCGGGCCGGTGGGCCGCCCGAAGCCCGAAAAAATTTGGGCTTCGGGCGGGCAGGCCCATATGCCGGCCCGTCCAAGGTGGATATTCGGGCTCGGGCAACCTGAATTTTGAGGCCACGCCGGAGCTCGCCGTTGTGTAGTTACTTTCGACCGCCGTCCGCCAGAGTTTTTTTTTAAAATTTTTCCAGCCAAGCCCAAATGCCTGACCTGCCCGAGCCCGAAAATCATGAAAAAACGGTCAGAAAAGCGACCGTTGGCTGCTGACCTGAAAACCCGAGATGCCCGAATTGCCCGAAAACCCGTCTAACGGCTAGTTTTGGCCCGACCCCTAAATTAGCCGTTGCAGCCCAAATGTTTTGAAAAAAAATCAATTTTTTAACCCAAAATTTTTTTTATAAATACCCCCCATCCCCCACACATTTTTCTCACTCAAACTCTCTCAATCCCTCTCAATTTCTCTCAATCTTTCTCAATTTCTCTCAATCTCTCTCAATCTCTCAAATCTCTATTACAATTTTTCTAAAAACTATCACATTATCCTAAAGCTCTCTTTCTCTCAAATCGCTATTATTTTTTTTTATAATGGATCCTTTTGGTTATAGTGGTATTCCCGTTGATGCTCAACACAACGTGGAAGAAGGGCAATTTCCCACTAATGAATTTGTTACGCAAGAATCTACTAATCCGAGCCCTGGTGGACATACTGGAGGTCGTGGTCGCAATGGTGGTGGGCGTAGAGAAATGGCGAGTGCTAGTGCGACTGCGTCTGCAAGTGTTGCAACCTCTAGGAGGAAATGCAAGCGCACCTCGACAGTTTGGGATCACTTCAACATAATTGAGGAGATCGACAATGAAGGTAAGACTAAACATATAGCTCAGTGTAAATATTGTTTATCTAAATTACAAGGTGACACTATTCACGGCACCGCACACTTGAGAAGACACTCCAAAAAGTGTCTTCAAAAGCTTAGCCAATCTGGCGGACCTGAACTTCGTTAAACACAATTATCTTTTGATCGCGCAACTGGTGGTCTAACCACTTGGAAATATGATCCGCAAGTAGATCGTATGAAAGTTGCACGAATGATAGCTGCTTTAGATCAACCACTTAGTTTTATAGAGCATCATAATTGGCAACAATATATTAAGGTTGTACATAATCCTAATGCACAGTTTATTTCAAAAACTACTCTTATAAAAAAATTTATTAAAATTATTTAAAAAAGAAAAAGAAGCATTAATAAACCTTTTACACTCGACTAGCGGGTGCGTTGCGTTAACGGTAGATATTTGGTCCGCTGTTGTCAATAAAGATTATTTAGTTGTAACCAGACATTAGTTTAAATGATTTGATTTAGATAAGAAAATATTATGTTTTAAATGTGTTCTAGGATCACATAATGCGGATTTAATATATAATATCATTTTAAATGTAATTGATGAATTTAGATTAAGAGATAAAGTAATGGCTATAACATTAGATAATGCTAGTGCCAATACAAAAGCAATTGAGTTCTTTGAAAATGATTTAAGTTTATTCGGTGACGGTACTATTTTCCACCAACGTTGTGCATGTTACGTAATTAATTTAATTGTTAAATCCGGTTTAAAAGAAATGAGTAATCACATTAAAAGAATTAGAGATAGTCTTGCATGGATTCAAGGTAGTAACCAAAGACAAGAAGATTGGTTTAGCTTCTTACAAGCATTAAATATACCTCATAGAGCATTAGCGTTAGATATGCCTATAAGATGAAACTCAACTTACATAATGCTTCAACAATGCATCCCCTATAAGGATGCTATAACAAACTATATGTGTACAAAAGTAGGAGTAGGACATATAGACGTATATGATTGACAAATTGCTGAAGTTTTGTGTCAATTTTTAGGTAGGTTTCATGAAGTGACTCTAAAACTTAGTGGAACATATTACCCAACATCACCTTTAGCTTTAGAAAAACTTTTACTAGTTAGTATTTTATTTAGTGAATATAGGGAAGACCCAATCTTAGCAGTTTCTATCCATTCTATGGAAAAGAAATTTATAAAATATTGGTCTAAGTTGCCTTTGTTGTATGGTTTAAGTACTATTTTTGATCATAGATTAAAATTAAAAGGTTTAGAAAGTGGTTTAGAAAACTTAGGTGAATTTTTAGGCATCAATTGTAAGGACTAATATCCAATAATAAAGGATAAAATATATTTGATCTATAGTAAATATGATATTAGGTTTAGAGTACCTCATAAAGTACAAGAAACGCAACAACAAGACGAAAACCTGCATTCATTACAATACCATAAAATATAATTATGAGATTATTTGTTACAATATGATTATTATATTATATTATATTACACGTTTAAATTTTAGATTAAGAAGATTGTAAATTTTAAATTTCGTTAAAAATATTATGAAAGTTTCATTAATTATACTATACTAATTTTCACACAATTTAAAAACTAAAATTATTTTTAAACTACTTCTGATTTTAACTATAAATTCTTCAAAAATTTTTTAAAAAATCCTTTTAAGGAGATTTAATAAATAATAAAATCAATTTTTATTACAAGTAAAAGTAAATTTTATGAGAAAAAATAATATCAAACTAAGCCATTATTTATCCCATTCATAAATTTTTGATGCCACTTTTTTTTTTTTTTTCAGTTTCCTCTCTCCTCTTTCTCGTCTCTCAAAGCCAAACCCTAACCCCAATGTCATGCAACCGCCATAGCCACCGGCGCTGCCACTAGAGGGATGTCGCCGGAGAAGAAGAAGACGCCACAATAGAGAGTGCTATAGCAGCACCACAGATCGAGTAGATCCGAGAAGGAAATCGTACAAAGGAGAATTAGAGTGGCCACATCCTTGGCTTTGGCCCGAGTGACGGTGATGTGAAAATCCCCGAGCAGAGAGAGCGTGGGGGAAGAGAGATTGTACTGTCTCGCCGTCGTTCTTCGTAGCTTCAGAAATGGCAGCCGCCGACAAAGCCAAGAATATGTTTGGACAGAGAAAGGAAAAGAGGAAGACAGCGAGAGAGCAAATCTATTTTTTTATGCTCTGTTTGTCAAAGAAAGAGAGAGAAAATTTGTAAAAAAGGAAAAAGAAAAAAATCTGTTATAAATTTTTATTAGAGAAAAAAAAATTCTTTGAATTATGAAAAATATTATGTAGATTATGAAAATTAATTTATAGGATATGAAAATATGAAAAATAACTTATAAATTATTTGAAATAAAATAAATTTAACGACAAAAATAAAATAACATTACATTATTAATGACATTTTTGGTTTTTTTTTTCTTTTTTTCAATAAATCAATGACAAGCTGTTACAAAAATAATAGTTTAATGGGCATGCGTTTATAATGTTACGTACTTATGTCATTATTTTATTAGCAGACCATTTTCAACTTAAGTTAATTGTATATTTAGTATTAAAAAGTGTGATATAATATGTTATTTTTATTTTTATTTAAATGTAGAATGCTAAATTTATTTTGTCTCATAATGATTAAGATTTAAATATTGTAAAAGTAAATTTTTATTTTTAAAATAATTAAAAAATATAAAAATTATAATAATTATATGAAAAAATAAACATTTTAACCAATAATAATCAAATGTTAAATTTCTCATATGTTATAATTAGTGAAAAATTTGTTATAAAATATAACATATGAAAAATTTATCACAATAAATAATATTATTAGAGGTATTTTTTATAATTAAATACTAAATTTACAATTTACATATCAATTATAGTATTATATTGAGATAATCTAAATATAAGAGTATTTCTAATTGAGGCGAATTGAATCATTCTTAAAAGTTAAGAGGATATTTGGTAGAGGGATTCGTTCCCTGATTCGAATCATGATTCGTGGTTCGCTACAATATTTTTTCTCATAAAAAATTCATATAAATAAAAAATAATTCGAATCACATGATTTGAATTCTCTAACCAAACGTTCTCTAAAATTGAGTGCATATTAAAATGTAGGACAAATATCATCGGACATTCGTGAGGTTAATCCACAAAATCAAGAAAACGAAAAGAAAAAAGACAAAAAATGGTTCAAAGGTCAACTTTGTCTTCGATTACTGTGCAACAAACTGGCGCTGATTGAATGCATCGGTGCGTGCGTGGGAGTTTGGGAGAGTCTATTCAACGCCCTAAACAGTCATACAGATCGACGGCTAATTACGCGTGAGAACATGGTTAATAATATACATGCGCTGCAGCGAAACTCCCAGGGTCTCTCTACGACATTTCTGCTATATTCAGAAACTGAGATCTAACAGAGAATCAACACCGCTAGCTTCTTCTTCTTCTTCTTCTTTGTCAATGGCGTCTAGGAGAACGGAAGACGGTGGCGATGGACGTGGAGAGGTCGTCGCTGTGCAATTGCGTGGTGAACTTCCTTCTAGAAGAGAACTACTTGTTGACGGCATTCGAGCTTCTCCACGAGCTCCTCGACGATGGCCGAGACGATCAGGCCATTCGCCTCAAGGAGTTCTTCTCAAATCCTTCTCAATTCCCTCCCGATCAGATCTCTCGCTTCAACTCTCTCCGAGGTTCTCTCAACTTTCTTTCATTTTTCTCTCCGATATGTTATGTTATGTTATATATATGTTACTTGTGTTTCTACATTTTTTTTTCAAAATTTTCTGTGTTTGACTTGGCTAAAACGAACATAGGACTTAGAGTTTTGTGTTTTCCAATCTGTTTCATTGGCATTTAAAGTGGCATCTGAATGAAGAACAATCTTTACTTTCTTCTTTTAGGGAAACGGAAATGGAAATAGTGTACCATTTACTGTCGAATTGAGAAATTATTTTCGGTGTTTCATGTCAGAGAATGAAGAATTTGCGAACATTTCGGTTTTTTTGACTTATTGATTAAAATTCTATAATATATGGCTTGTAAACCAAAAAAAAAAAGGGAAAAAAATTGCAATGGACTTCAATTTTTGATTATACGAAAATTGGCATTGCACGTATAATGTCAAGATCTTATGTAAAAAAAAAATCATTATACTTTTGAAGTCTTCGGATCAGTCACGAAGTGTTTGTGCTAAATCATGTGACGTTTATAAGTTCAGTGAGATACTAAAAGCTTTTACCTGCTTAGTTTCTGAAAGCAGCCGAAAAACTTGTGATCTTTGACCTGTTTAAATACCAATAAAATGTAAACAAGAAACATTTGATCAGAGTTTTTGAGCAAGCGCTGGATTTTTGATAAATCCGCAGAGGACTAAATGACCAACTTTTTTTTCTTAATACCCAGCCACTAAATTATTTAAGGCTATGGTATGACTCCTCTGCAACTGCTGTAGATTGCAAATTATAGTGGAGGTACTTATAATAAGGTTTCAAAGATTTGATTTTACATATAACAGTCATAAATAGGTGTTTTATGTTTCATATTGAATTACAATATCTGATGTGGTTTAACTTTCACATTTGAATTCGGGATTTAAGGTGAGAGGGGTGATGTCATTGATTTTTATTCCAGTTTTCTCTTAGTAATTAGTTTCTTGATATTTAGTAGCTGGAGTTTGAACTCCGTGCCTCTAAATCCTTGTTGATTCACTTCTAATATTCTATATGAACGATTAATCCCATTCTTATGTTTTACTATCAATTAAATTCATAATTCCTGATCATTTTGTGCGCTGTTGATTCTTGTAAAGCAGTTGCTGACCCACAGAGTTTGCTAGAGGAGAAAGAAGGACTAGAGGAAAAATTAGCACTCAGTGAGTATGAGCTCCGCTTAGCACAAGAAGACATCTTGAAACTTAGGACCGAGTTACAGAAGAAAAATGAATCCCCTATCAATGACTTAAGAGGTGAGTTACCAAATCTAGGAGGTACTTTAAATGCGTTCATTCTTTTTTGTTTTTGGCGAGACACTCCTGCTGTATTCGATTTAATATAATATCAGATGGCCAGTTGCATAATTTTCCACAAGGTGATGATGGTCATCTTGAGTGTTCATCATTATAGTTTATCTGCAGGTGAATTTATAGTAAGTTTATTTGTGAAATGATAGAAAAACCACAAACTTTAGATGGCTGTATGGAAGAGTGTTGCCATATCTGTCTCCTCGTCATACTGGAATCTAGTTTTCATAGGTAAAACACCTCATAGAGTGCAGCGGCTAAGACCAAAGTGAATTCTAGTTAAATTGAAAACTGTTTGCACGATTGCCCCTCAAAATAGTTACACTTGTAGTTTATAATTTGTATGCATTGGTCGTTGATATCTCTTGTAAATTTCTTCCATCATTGCTGCATTCAGGGGAACCTGTAGATGTCTCCATAAATTGCGGTCCAGAATTTATGCGGCAGAAGAGAGATGCTCCCTTTTCTGATTTAGGCCCGTTGAAGGAGAATGAACGTCAGGATCTTAACTGTGCTGTGAAAGAATATTTACTTATAGCAGGTTACCGGCTAACTGCAATGACATTTTATGAAGAGGTATGTAACATTGAGTGTTTTTACCGGCTCCTAGATTTTTTGGTCATGTGCTTATGGTGATGAAAACTTTGTTTTTTTTTTTAAAATAGAGGAGGTTGTTTATTTTTCTTTCTACTTGCTTATATCTATCCATCCACCACTAGGAGCTATTCTAGCACACAGATTTTGTTAAAATCAACACCGCCTAGAGTTGAACCCCAACACCAAATGTTGGCCCATGAAGCCTAGGGGTGGCAATTCGTGTTGACGGGTCGTGTTCGTGTCGTGTTGATCCCCTTAGTTGACACGAATACGACCCGTTTATTAATCACGTCGAAATACGAAATTCAAACATGACTTGTATGTTGGCGGGTTGACACGACACGACACGACTAACCCGTTTATTAAACAGGTCGTAAACGTGTCGTGTCAACCCGTTGATTACCTGCCAACACGTTTATAAAATAAGTGATTAATAGGTCGTGTTAACCTATTTTTGAACCTATTTTTGAACCTATTTCTGAATCTATTTCTAAACCTATTTATGAAATGGGTAATAAATGGATCGTGTCGACCTATTTCTGAGCCTACTTTGAACCTGTTTATAAAATGGGTGATAAAACATGTTTCTCAACCTGTTTAACATGTTGTAGAGACATTACATAATCTAAGTTCAAAATTAAAACAAACACATAAAAGTCTCTCACAAATTAGAAAACAAACGCATAAAAGTCTCACAAATTAGAAAACAAACGCATAAAAGTCTCTCACAACTTAGAAAACAAACACATAAAAGTCTCACAAATTAGAAAACGAACATACATGATTAATAATTAAACATTTAAATAATTTGTTGCAGTGGGGGGACTCCAAGTACATCATTAGGTTCAGCAAAATTTGAAGATATCTTGTGTAAGATCCTCCACCTTTTCATTGAAATCTATACAAAAACAAAAATATATAGATACAAGGTAGTTCAAAATCAATATAAGAAATATAAATAAATTAAAATAATTTGAAACCACCTTTGTCACCATATAACCAATCTCTGGTACAAACAAGTGTTTTAACTGTCTGCGGTTTAAGTGAGCTACGAAATGGATCAAGAATTGTACCACCAACACTAAATGTAGCTTCAGAAGCAACTGTTGAAACATGGACAACCAATATATCACAAGCCATAGAAGCTAGTGCCGGATATCGAAATTGGTTTGATTTCCAAAAGGAAAGGATATCAAGCTCCATGTTCCTAGCCAGTCATGCTTATTTCCATAAGCTTTTGTAAATGCAATGATAGGTTTTCCAATTACTCTTTAGCACGGCCCTTGTTTTTTTTTTTAGTTTCTACTTTTTACATTTCTTTTTGAGATTATATAAATCATTTGATATTATGTTAGTTTTTCTACTATAATTTCTACATACATGATGCAAATGTATATTGCTAAAAATCAAGAACATGTCGATTAGTTCTAGGCTTAGGAAAAGGCAACTCAAATTTGTTTAGTCTAATATGCTTCTGTAAGAGAAAGCTTTTAGGGGCGTGTTCTAGATTGCTCAAGGGACAGTATAATTTTTTTTTAGGCAGTTGCAATAAACAAAAAATAGAAATACTTGTTCCCAAGTATGTGAAAACTGATATACACAACCATTAATCAAATATACACAACCATTAATCAAATTGATATTCCCAAATACGGTATATTTCCAACAATAAACAAATATACACAACCATTAATCAAAGTATGTACAAAAACAAAAAATAAAAATGGAGGCCGAAATAGTCAAATAGAAATACCTGTTTCCGAAGAAGAATAAGCAAAAACAATTGTTCCCAAGTATGTGAAAACTGAAATCCACGATGAGAAAAGTTATGGAAAAGAAAAAAAAAGTAAGTAAACTGAAATCCAATGGGAAGAAATGAACGGGGATGGGTTTTACCTTAATCTTTGCTTGCAGTGGAGAAACACCGTGACCGTGTTTTGTGTGACGAGTGGAGAGGAAAGAAGAAGAAGAAGAAGAAGAAGAAAAAGAAGCGAGAAGCGGCGGTAGTCCGGTGGATTGAGATCAGGTAGTGGTCCGGTGGACTGAGATCAGGCGGTGGAGAGTTGAGAGTGGAAGTCACATAGAAGAAAAAAGGAGAGATAGAGACTAGAGAGATGTTAAGCCCAAGCCCCTACAGACTTATGTTAAACGTAGGGTTAGGGGGCAGATTAGTCTTTTGATATTTTATGGATTTAGGGCTTTAGTATAAAGAGGGTATTAGCAAGTTAATTATGTTTTTGTTGAGTTTTATCAAGTTATTAGGAATAATTAGGAGTTTTGGAGAGATTGACCTACCTCTTGAATTGTAGGTCAGGATTTGTCTTTCAGTTGATTTGATTAATAATAATAGACCCTAATTCAGCCCAAATCCCAATTGATTCTTCTCTGAAACCTATCAAGAGAAGAAAGGTTTGAATTGTTGAGGCGGCTGGCTGAGATTAGAGATAGAGAGGCATAATAAATAGTGAAACATTTTTAACCTAGGTAATAAACGGGTAACAAACGGGTTGTATAATCGTGTTACCCAAATATGACACGTTTAATAAACGAGTTATGGCGGGTCAATTGCGGGTTGACGGGTCAACTTAAAAATGACGCGTTATTTAATCGCGTTTCGCGGGTTCGACCTGATTTTGACCCGAACTTATTTATGATAAACCCAAACCCACTAATTTCGTGCGGATTTCGAGTCGTATCGTCGTATCGCTACCCGGATTGTCAGTCCTAATGAAGCCTACTACCAATACTTGCTCATTAAATTTTGTATCACATATGCATTAGAATAAGTTTTGAAGGAAACTTCTGTGTGTTTAGACTCGGTTTTGGAGTAGTTTAATGGTGTAGTAAAAGACAACCAATAGTTTCACTATCAACAACGGAAGTGGAGACAGAGCGGCAGCTACGGCGGCTCAAGAAAGCACATGGTTGATCTAATTGATGGAAGATTTGCACTAGCCTATTGATTTTGTAATTCCACTTTACTGCAACAATCATTTGGCGGTACGTTTGGCGGAATATCTAGCTTTTCACGCGAGGACAAAGCATGTGGAGGTGCATTTACCATTTAATTAGAGAAAAGGTGTTGCAAGAAGAGATAGAGATGCATCATGTCAAGACAGATGCCTCATTCATTTCACTGATTTGAGTTTTCAGTTTTAGGTTTCTAGAGTTAAAAGTTCTCAGAAAATGTCACATCTAATTTTTTATGCTACAGTTAAAAGCTCTCAGAAAATGTCACATCTAACTTTTTCTGTTATAGTTAAAAACTCTCAGAAAATGTCACATCTCAATTCGAATTAAAAACTCGAAACCGCAAAGCGAATGAGGCCTAAAGGATTGAGCACTGTCAAGTTCAAAAAGTTTCAAAATCAACTCAATATGTCAAGTAAAAAAAGATCGGAAGTTGGTGATGGGAGGGAGTGTTAAAATCAACACCGCTTAGAGTTGAAGTCCAACATCAAATGTTGGCCCATAAAGCCCACTACCAATACTTGCTCATCAAGTTTTGTGTCACATATATATTAGAATAAGTTTTGAAGGAACTTCCATGAAGTTTCCAAATGCAAATCTAGCCGATCTAACCGTTGCTCAAAAAGTATTCATTGCAACTTGTCAAACATCTAAGCAATGGTTTTAATATAAATAGGTGCCTTCACTTGTTCATACACGGCAAATGAGAGAAGCCAAAGTGAGGCATAAGTTTTGTAGTGTGAGAGAGAGTGCTGGTAAGAAAAAAAAGGAAAATTTCTTTTTGGTGTAATATTTTGAGTGTTCTCTCTAGTGTGTAATTTAGGATCTTGATGTATAAATACTTTTAATTTAATAATAGTAGTTTCATTATCCCAGTGTTTTGTTCAACAGTCGATACCAGATTGTTGAATAATAAAACTATTTCATTAAATTAGGAGAACTTTATATATTAAAATCCTGAATTACAAGCAAAAGGGAGCACTCAAAATATTACACAATAAAACAAGCTTTTTTTTTTTTTTTTTTTTAATAATTTATAATACTTTCTCTCACACTTACGCACACACTCCACTACTTAATTTGCTTCACTTTGCCGTCTTGGCTGTGTTCAACCAAGGGAACCGAAGCCTCCTATTTAAAGTAGAAGTCATTGCTTTGATGAATGGCATGTGGCCTTTAAGCAGCGGTGAGATTGCACCGTGGAAACTTAATGGAATTTTCCTTAAAAGCTTATTAAAATATATACTTGAATACAAGACTTAATCGGCAAATTTTGATAGTGGGCTTCGTGGGCCAAACATTGGATGTTGGGCTTTATTCTCCAAGCGGTGTTGATTTTAACTTATGTGGATCTTCAGCATTCTCTTGCCAAATGGGAGGTCCATCTGATTTGTCAACTGTACGCTGTCAATTAAAAATGTTCTTATAGTGGAAAACAATAAACACTGTTCATGGCCTGCAATGATTTTCTGCCAGCTACAGTAATCACATTGACTGATGGAAAAGATTTAAACGAGTAGGAGAAGAGAGAGTTTAATGATATTACAGACACACCGACACATGCGTACGTGTAGACATAAGACAATACACATATCCTTATGTTTGTTTACCATTTTGAATTTACTATGAGGACGTTTGGTTGATGGATTCAGAATCATGATTCAGAATCATTCTCGATTTACATGTGTTTTTTGTGAGAGAAAATATTGTAGCGAGCCACGAACCATGATTCGAATTATGGCATGAATCCTTAAACCAAACGCACTCTATGTTTCTTGGAGTTTGATTGTTTTCTTTTTTTTTTTTTCTTTTGTGCTTTTTGTTTTTGTATTTCAGTATAGTATAGTGTGTAAGTAGTTTAGAAACCATGAGACAGGCTCACACACACACACACACACACACACATAAATGGGTTATATGGAAGGATCCGTTTCCAGTCATCAATACATTTGGTATACGATACAAATCATTTAACATCCAATTTTGCAAAATTTGACATTGTATAGCATTCTTCCCTTGTTTAATGTTCCTTCCCAGTAGTTGATGGTAATAAGAGTGGGGATTATAACTGTTTCATCGATTCCTTCTTACACTGACCTATTTGTAGCCTCATTCATTTAGAAACTTCTCCGTTTCTGGTAAATGTGTATGGCATTATCACATTGTCCATATTGCAAATCTTAGCTATTAAAATTGCTGACTCTAATTGCAAAAACGTTACCATAACTTGTCACTGTTTTCATTGCAGGTAGCAGATCAGGACTTAGATGTTTGGAAGAATATACCTGCATGTGTACCAGATGCCTTGCGCCATTATTATTATCAATATCTTGCATCCACTTCAGAGGCTGCTGAGGTATATCCTGAAATACATGACACGGGAAATCTGTTCGTTATATTGTTCTCCTAGGTGCCAAACCATTCATTTAAAAATTGATATCACTTTGGCGTGTTGCATCTTTGTCCTTTCAAGTTTTACAGAACCTTTTGTATGATTTATGCCTGTTATTCTTTAGAAATGGAGTATTAGTCCTTTAGAATGATTAGAATATGGGTCTTAACTTCTATAAATGCTTATTTATGAATAAAAGGATGTCATCTTGTTTCCTTTACTACTATAGCTTCACATTGAGAACATGCTGTGTGGAGTTGTCATGCAGATATTGTACGTTACAAACAAATATAACAAGTATACTGGTTTTGACCTTCGAGTTCTGACATACAATTAATTTTTTATCATTGTGATTTAATGTATTTGACGACATTACACATTAAATTCTTAAATTATGGAAATTCACTGTCTAAAAGCTAAGATATCATAAACTAGTGGAAGTTCATTTATTTACTTTATTAAATAATTTCAATATGCAGCCTTAGAAATTGTAAATCTATCGTTTGTGTTCGTTTCAGAAATAGTATGTTTATTCACACAGTACTTGTCAAATATATCTTTTAAGCACTTTTTGGATGATTAATATATGAGGAATTATTCTTCAAGAGTTGTTCCTATCTTTGTCCTTTGGCCCTTTTTTTTGGGTACTGTACAGCACATAGGAAAACTTTCCTTCTCTTCTGCAGGAGAAAATTGCTATGCTTCAAGAAAAGGAGTCCTTACAGAAGGAAAATGAGAGGTTGAATCATGAAAAATCACGCTTGCTGAAAAACAAAGATTTAGCTGATGGTCAAATAAGTGCGTTAACTAAAGCTTTAGAAGCTCATCAGAAGGACCTTAAAGACAAAGAGAACTTGGTAACCATTTGATTATGCATCTTTAGCTACTATCAAAGTGAAACTCACATGTAAGGTAATAGCCAATCTGTCATTTCAGGTTCAAAATCTCAAGCAGTCCTTGGAGCTCCAGAGAAAGGATCTCAATGATTGCAGATCTGAAATCACTGCACTGAAGATGCAAATTGAAGGGTTTCAGTCTGGACGACTTTTAACAGCTACTGATGCTGATCCTCCCCAATCTGATTCCATAGAAAGGTACAAGGAAGAGATCAAATCCCTGCAGATGGAAATAGAAGCCTTAAAATTGAGGAATGCAAATGCTCCAGATTCTTTGGTTTCCATATCTTCTGATAAAGAGTATGCTCAAGCATCGGAAAAAATAGTTGAGATACATGAAGATAAAACTTCAACTGCTCCTCCAGTTGGTACAGCTCCGAGAGTTACAGATGGCGAAGATGCTCAATCCCTGATTACCCAAATTTCTGATGATAGCAAAGATAAATCTGAGGAACTTCCACAAGGGGCACCAGTGAATCCTTCTAATGACACTTGTTCCTTGGAGAACAGTGGGAATGTCTCCAAACTTAATGGCGAACTGCCATCAGAAGATGGCAAGCTACTTCTAAAGTCGGACAATCTCAGTGTTGAAGCTGCTTCTGAGACAACGGCAAGTTCACTACTCTCTGTGATGCATCAAAGCCTTAGACAACTATATCAGAAATAGCTTTTACTTTTAAGAATTCTGAAAGCTTTAAAACCTTCCACCATTGCTCTTTGTTAAATTATTGGGAAGGTTACTATACTCATATTAAAATATGTTTACACTGTGGCAGGGTCCAGGGACCATTCAGATTCTAGCTGCGGCCTTGCCAAAGATTGTTCCTTACGTCCTGATCAATCATCGGGAGGTTGCCTTTGACTTTTGCCACCCATTCTCTTATACACGCAAGCATACACAAATTTATACTACAAGACTTTTAGTGAAAGGTTTCCTATTCTAAAGAGGTTTTATTTACTTTCAGGAGCTTCTTCCCCTGATCATGTGTGCAATTGAGCGCCATCCGGAGAGCAGCACCCGGGATTCTTTGACCCACACATTATTTAACCTAATAAAACGTCCGGATGAGCAACAAAGACGAATAATTATGGATGTAAGAATAAAACATTTATGTTGTGATATATATACATTTTTGACATGATGTTGAACCTTTTAACCTTTCTTTCAGGCATGTGTTAGCCTTGCTAAGAATGTAGGGGAGATGAGAACAGAAACAGAGCTGCTGCCCCAATGTTGGGAACAAGTAAGTTTGAGACTTGTCTTGTAAGCTCTTCTTGTTCCATTCATTCATCATCTTTTCCAAAGTGGGCCTCAATTTTTTTCTTTCTTATTTAATGCAGATAAATCACATGTATGAGGAGCGTCGGTTGCTGGTTGCTCAGTCATGTGGACAGCTTGCAGAATTTGTTCGACCAGAAATCCGTGATTCTCTTATTTTATCTATTATTCAACAACTAATTGAAGATTCTGCAACCGTTGTTCGTGAGGCTGCTGCATGTAATCTTGCTATGCTGCTGCCGCTCTTTCCAAATATGGACAAATATTTCAAGGTCAGCCTCACTAAATATGCTTCGAGGCTCTCATGGAGAAGAATTCTGACTTGACAGAGTAAGCTCTAGAACAGGTTGATGACACATGGTCTAGGGAATGGAGCCTTTTCCACATAAAATGATGACTTAAAGAAGAAAGAATAGAAATCCACAAAAAAAAAAGTTTCTCCAATACTTTGTTTTGTTTTTCATAGGTTGAGGAGTTGATGTTCCAATTGGTCTGTGATCCCTCTGGAGCTGTGGTGGATACTACACTCAAACAATTAGTTCCTGCGGTAGTTAAGTGGGGAAACCAATTAGAGCATGTTTTAATGGTACTTCTCTCACACGTGTTGAGCTCTGTTCAGGTATGCTTAATTCTAACTTACTTTCCTATTTTTCACTTTCTTCCATTTCCTTCATTCTATAATTTCTCTGTTATTGTATTTTATTATATTGCAGCACTGCCCACCCCTATCAGGGGTTGAAGGATCTGTGGAGTCGTATCTTCATGTTTTAGGCGAAAGAGAACGTTGGAATGTTGATGTTTTACTTAGACTGCTGGCAGGATTGCTTCCTTCTGTGCATGAGAAAGCAATTGAAACATGCCCTTTTCCTTCCATTCCTGAAACAAGTGCAACTAAATTTTCTACCCCATTGCTTGAATTGTATGCAGGGTAAGCTATGTACTAATTTTTATTTTGCTGTTCCTCTTTTGTTCCTCGGCAAGATATAACCTTCTTCCCTGAGATTACTATTTTATCAAAATTGATAGCTTGTGCCCTGGTGCCATAAGTGCTTATGATTAATTCCATATTTGGCAGGGGACATGTACAATGGCCTGCATTTGAGTGGATGCATGTAAATTGCTTACCCAATTTGATACAGTTTTCCTGCTTGTTACCTCCTAAAGAAGATAATTTGCGAAATCGAACTGCTAAGGTCTCTGTCTGTGTTCCTCGGCCTTTTTTTTTTTTTTTTTTTCCTTCTTCTTCTTCTTCCTACTTTCATATTGGGTCCATCACAGATCCTTGTTGAAAAATTTTTCTTCTAGTTTATTCTAATTTAGATAGGGATGGTGCAGATCTTGTTGGCTATATCAGAACTTTTTGGGGATCCTTATTCGACACATGTTATGCTGCCTGTGTTCTTATTGGCTGTTGGTGATGATGGTGATTTGACATTTTTCCCATCTGCGGTCCAGTCTAAAATCAGAGGTACTAAATTCTAAGATTGGCATATTGTTTTATATCGTGGTTCATATCTAATTGCTTCTTGAATATCAGGTTTGACTCCAAGGACGGCTGTAGCCAAAAGACTGGCCACCATGTGTGTCCTACCTCTTCTCTTGGCAGGTGTCCTTGGAGCTCCAAATAAGCGTGAAAACTTAGCAGCATACTTGAAAAGTCTGTTAGTTCAAGGTGCTGCGAAGGAACCTCAGTCAACAAAGTGCTCTGCTGAGATCGTTGACGCTGTCCGCTTCCTTTGGTTTGTAACTTAACGAAACGTGTGAACTTCTTGTTTGCAATTCATCGTTTGACCAATAGGCTTATCTTACAATGCAGCACATTTGAAGAACATCACACTATAATATTTGATATCCTATGGGAAATGGTTGTAAGCTCCAATGTAAATATGAAGATCAGTGCTGCCAGTCTGTTGAAAGTCATTGTGAGTTGTAGTCAAGCTTCTTTGGTCTCTATTTTAGTTGTCTGATAGTGGATTTAACATATCGTTGACTTCATTTGCCTAACAGGTTCCCTATGTAGATGCAAAAGTTGCATCCACACGCATTTTGCCTGCCCTAGTTACTCTGGGCTCTGACCCAAACCTTAATGTAAAATATGCAAGCATAGACGCCTTTGGACCTGTTGCCCAGCATTTTAAAATTGACGTGGTACTGATTATTTTTTTGGCTTTGAATCATAAAATAAATGTCTGAATGAAAAGAGTTCCTACATATCTGGCTGAGTGGTTCTGATACATTCCAGATTGTTGATAAGATATGTGTTCAAATGGATGCTTTTCTTGAAGATGGATCCCATGAAGCTACCATCGCTGTAGTTCGAGCTTTGTTGATAGCTGTTCCTCATACAACGGATAGACTTAGAGATTATATCCTCAACATTTTACATGATGTATATTTTTACTTCAATAGTCATTGCTCCTCGTATCAAGTGACTAGTTTACTTTGTTATTTTCCTTAATCTACTTCACATCTTTTGTCTAAGATTTTCCAATTTACTGCTACTCCAATTACTGCTAGTAATCTGATGCGACAGCGTGAAAGAGCCAATGCATTTTGTGAAGCAATACGTGCTCTAGATGCTACAGGTTTGCTTTTTATGTAACTTTTGTCATCTAATTTTCTTTTCTCTAGCCTGGTTTCTCTATCCCCCACCACTAAAATAAAAATGCTTAACTTCAATTTGGCATTGTTGAATGATAGAATAACATTATATTGGTACATACTATTTTGTGTATTAGAGAAAAGCATGTGAGTTTATTGATTTCTAGTTCCGTAACTTATACTTTTCATTTATAGAACACTTTTATGAATTGTGGGTTGTTTGTACTATTATTTTGTGTGAACAAAAAAAGTTCTTTCGCTCCAAATTCAAGTTGTTTGGAGTTCTGAAATGAAAAATGAACATAGAACTAGGCAAAACACTTGTAGGTTGTACAATTCTCAGTACTCTCTCCTTTTTTTTTTTTTTGGGAGAAAGACTGGAATTTTTAATACACAGACAAGTGAAACTTCTAATCTGATCTTGATATTCTGCAACAAACGCAACAGATCACACATTGTAACAAAGGCTCCATAAGAATTCCCACCTCAGGCCAAACTTGAGTTTTTCTTTACGCAACCTATATTTGTGATTGACGTTATATTTCTGGAAAATTCTGACGACATTCTCATTTGCTCATCTTTGTTTTCTGTTTCAATTTTTTGAATTTCAATGTCTTTGATGCCAAGTCTCATTCTGCTTCTCGCAGATCTCTCAGCAGCTAGTGTCCGGGACTTCCTTCTACCTGCCATACAGAATCTGTTGAAGGACTCGGAAGCTTTGGATCCAGCACACAAGGAAGCCCTTGAAATTATAATGAAGGAGAGATCTGGTGGAACCTTCGAAACCATCAGTAAGGTTATGGGTGCTCATATTGGGATTGCATCATCTATGACCAGTTTCTTTGGCGAAGGTGGGCTCTTAGGCAAGAAAGAAAGTGCAGAGCAACCGTCAGGGACGGACGAATCCCCAAAGCCCGTTCCACCTTTACCGGCAGAGGATACCAGATTCAGGAGAATCATGAGAGGCAATTTTACAGACATGCTACGAGGCAAAGTAAAGGACCCAGAGGAAACTCAGAACCAGTGAAGTTTGAGTTCCAGCCGATAGTAGCACGGCTAGAGTACGCTTCTCATCCGTTTCTTCATGCGTGAATATCATTCTTGTTTACCATGTTTGAGGTTGTCATCCACTAACGGTATGCCATTTTTTCATTTTTTTTTCTTTGTTTTTAGTTTTTGTATGGGATAGGGAAAAAGGTATTAAAAAAAAGGAAGAATGGAATAAAAATCTACTTGATTTTCTTTTTTTCTTTGTTCTGGTTTAATGGCTTATAATCAATTGAATTGGTTGCATTATTCCGATCTTCAGCATATATGTACCGCGTTGAGACTGTCTTTGGCAGTGTTATCCCGAACCGTATCCTCGATAGGGCTGTTTATGGGTTGAGTTGGTGCGGGCTAAGACTTTTTCTTCTCCCGCCTTAAAGGGTACGGGTTGCACATATTTAGTCTCAACGGTGTTAAAAAAATTTTACAACCCAATGATGTTTCTCATGAACGACCATTCTGACCATTCTGACCATCAGAGATTTTTTAAGTACACAGCACATAAAGTTTTTGTTTGGAGCATCGCAAAAATTATATTGTACTGAAATATCTATTTATATAGATAGATATATTATATAATTAATATATATATATATATAATATAAACTTTTTCTATGGTCTTTCTAGTGATAGGTCTCTCTGATGTAACATATAGATATAAAAAACGTAACATGATGTCATTAAACGTAACATTGACATTGGAGATGTGTAATATGATCTTTAGATGACTAAATTTCTTAGTGTTATACCTCTTCAACAACAATGTTATGTTCAATAAAATCAGTGGTACTTTTTTTTTCCTATCTACATATATATAAAATAGGATTTTTTTACGGTCTTTTTAGTGGAAGGTCTCTCTGACGTAACATGTAGATATAAAAAATGTAACATGACGTCATTAAACGTAACATTGACATTGGAGAGATGTAACATGGTCTTTGAATGATTAAATTTCTTAGTGTTATACTTCTTCAACATCAATGTTACGTTCAATAGAACCAGTGTTACTTTTTTTTTTTCTATCTACATATTACATTTGAGGGACGTCCTACAGAAAGACCGAAAAAAAGCCTTATATATAAATAAATATATAGGTGAAGTCTTAAATTCAACATCCGTACAATTAGAAAATATAACTTTTTCTTTTATTCTCTTGTAATATCGTTCATATGTGTATGACATTCGGCTTGTTTAAGTATAATACTCAATGTTACGTGTGTTGATTTATATTATCTCAATATTACATTTCAACGAACTGAGTTTACAGAAAAAGTTGCAATTGCCGGCTCAAGACATTCCCTATGTGTATATATATAGACGAATTTTTAATAGTTACGTTTTTATCGGTAGTCACTTTTAAATATAGAAATTTAATAACGTGACGTGATAAAAATATAATTATTAGTTCTCATTAACTTTTTTCAGTTAACTACTAAAACAATAATGGCTAGTAAATATTGGAGTAACCAATATAATGCATAATATACAATAATATACTATTGTATATATACAAATAGAATTTGGATGAATTCTTTGGATCATATAAACTAGTGTGTGCATAATAATACGATATACGAATCGATATTATAATACAATCTTATCCTGGGTGCACTAGAAGATGTATATGATTGGTTCCTTTTTACTAATTTATCTTCAGAAATAATGCTAAAACTGGCGTTAATCTATTTTTTCGGCATAATTTTTAGCATTAAAGTTATCCAAACAGTCTACAAAACAACTGATTGCTTTTGTCTATAGTTTGGTGAGTAATGGAGAAAAAAAAAAAAAAAAACAGTTATTCATTGGTTGATACTACACAAAAATATAATATAGACGTGCTGGAATGCGGCTATATCTCCATATATGTAATAGGTAGTTAGGATACAGGAGGGAGCAGAAACTGTCCGTTGTACACACGTTATTAATATGTATCTTTCCGGATTGTTTGTTTGGTGAAGTAACGACCAATATATCAGAGAAATCATGTAATATCTTACCACATAAGTAATTAAAATTACAAAAACTGATAAATTTACCTAACAGTTGCGTTGCTAAACTTAAGTAATGTGGTTCGGCTTGTACCAGAAAACATTGCTTTTCATGCTGGTTTCACAGCTAATGGCAAGTCGCTCTTTCAATGTACTATTTTAGTGTCTTCTCAAACCTATTTCGGTTTTCTTGTTGCCAATAATTTAAAAAAAAAAAAAAAAAGTTCTTCGTCCTGTATAAAAAGCCTTACAAGTTATAACAAATTCACACAACAAAAGAAACACAAAAATTTTGATAATTGATCAAAACACGACGCACACGACACGTGATACGAATTGCCACCCCTACACAAAATAGCAGGTGAAAGAGAAATTGATTGAAAGAAAGGAATGGCTAAATCCTCAACGTCATTTGTCTTTGTTTGCTTCATTTTCTTGATTATGGGGAAATCTGAAGCTCAATTAGCACCGGCTTTGTATGTGTTTGGAGACTCAACGGTTGATGCAGGAAATAACAATGCTATCAACACATATGCAAAATCAAATTATGCTCCTTATGGTGTAGATTTTCCTGGTGGAGTCACAGGCAGGCCTACAAATGGTCGTAACGCGGCTGATTTCATTGGTAAGTTAGAACATCCTTTTCTGCAAAAAAGAAAAGAAAGAAAACAATTAGCACGTTTATTTCCGGGTTTTAACCACAGCTCGAAGCTTCTTGTCACGATTTTTCCCTCACAGGAAAAAAATTCAATTTCTGTTCAAACTTTGAGTTCCAAACCTATGAACCATACAGGCTAAATGTATATAGCAATCACATATATATAGATATATATATATATATATATAATAATGCATGTTATTGAGAGAAGACACTATTAAACTTACACTAGAAAAAATGATACGACTTGCATAAATTTAAGTGGCTTTTGTAGCTAGAAATTAAACACCTTAAAGCAGTACCTCTTTGTTAATGTCAAATTATATATATCCGACAGACATTACACAAATTTGGCATAATCTAATGAAAATTTGTTTGGTAATTTATTTTTACTGCATCCACATATATATCGAACTTCCCCACTTTTTCAATCCTGAAAAAGAACGAATCATCGACCTTGTCTTTCTGCAAATTAAAGATACACTTAATAGTTATTATCTATCTAATTTTGCGATTCAAATGCAGCTTTATCACTTGGATTAAAAGCTCCACCTGCATTCAGACTTGTCAACACTAGCACTTTGTCTGATAGATGTGAAGGTTTTAACTACGCGTCTTCTTCAGCTGGAATTCTTCCAGAATCAGGATTTGTAAGATAAATTCTGAAATGCATTTTGTATAAACTTCTCCAAGTTTCATTGATTATTTTCGTGTTATTCTAATTCGATATCTATCATGCATATTGCAGAAAGGTACATTGAGTTTGGGAGAACAAGTTGATTTGTTTAGGAAGACTGTTGAAGAATATCTGCCATTGTATTTTAAAAGCAAGGACGATCTCTCCATGCACGTATCAAAATCCATTTTTCTTCTTGTAGTGGGCGTCAATGACTATGCCCTAAATTTTCTAAAGAAAAAGAATAGTGGTCAGCCATTTGACGATGAAGCAGCTGCTGAACTTCTTAGAGAGAAATTCCAAAACCACTTAACAGTAAGTAATTTCTCTCTTAAGATGATATAATTTACTCTTAAAAAGAAACACAGAATATATATATATATATATATATAACAGCATTGCATTAAAGGTATTAGCACATGTCGTGCATGTTTTTGCAGGAGTTGTATAACTTGGGAGCCAGAAAATTTGTGGTATTCGACATTGAAGCAATTGGTTGCTTGCCCATTTATGTAAATCAACAAAAACCACCGACTTCAAAATGTGTGGACGACTTAAATTCAATGGTGCTTAAATTCAATGAAAAACTCCCGTTGAAGCTTCAAGATCTAGCCGTTACACTTTCTGGCTCAGCGTTCATTGTTGGAAAGAATTATGAACATATTTTGAATTTGGTGGAGAATCCGAATAACTATGGTGAGATGCTCTAAATCCATACAACAATCTATAATTATATGTAGGAACTAGTACAAAACCAACAATCTTATAATATAATTTTGTTTATTCTTTAATCTCATATTAAAGTTTCTAAGGTACACGCTCTTAAACCATGATTAGTTGTGTGTGTGTGTGTGTACATATATGCATGGATGAAGAAAACACCCAATGGGACGTGCAATGGCACAACAACCTGATTAGTCATGTAAAAATAATGTTTAAAAAAATGTTTTGCAGGGTTTAAAGATGCATCAAATCCATGTTGTGCACTTACACCCTATGGGACATGCGATGGCAAAAGACCGCCTTGTGAGGACAGAAACTCACGTGTCTTCTTTGATGCATTTCACCCTACTGAAGCTGCTTACAAGATTATTGCTCAAAACTGCTTCAGTGGTTCCGGTGTATGCGTTCCAATGAATGTCCTAGAGCTTGCTAGATTATCATAAGAGCTTCTTGTTATTTTATTCTTTCCATTTTTAAGTTTTAATTTGAATAAAAATTCATCAATGTAGTATGTTAGATATCTTTATAGTTGAGTTAATATATATATATATATATATATATTTTTCTTTTTCCGTTTTCTTTCGGTTTTTTACTTTTCTAGTTTGTATTGAACAAATAATTAAAAAATAATTGTTTTTATTGACACCCCCTCTTTACTCTCTACACACTCTTTTAATTTAAAATTTTCTATGACAAAAAGTCTCTGACATAAAATGATAACCCCTTCCTCTTTACTCTCCACATGCCCTTTTAACCTAAAATTTCCTATTATAAAAAGATCCTCATATAAAATGATAAAAATGATAAATTATAATAGACTTAATTACCTAATTAAATTTTATTATAAAAATAATAATATTTTTTTGTCCTCACACACTCACATACCATATATAGCTAAATTATAAACGCTTGCTATTTTAAAAGCTATTACAAAACCCTAATTTTAAGGTTTCAATCACTATTCTAAAAAGTTACATGGAGGTATGTTAAATTTTTTTTTTTTTTTTTTGTATTTGTTGTATGATGAATATTGTTCTTTTGTTTTTCTTTCAGTGTTTATATATTTGTATCAATCATTTCGTTTATTTTTTTTTAATAAAGCTGCATTGATTTTTTTTTTTCGTTTTGTTCTTTTTCCTGCTTATACTCATTTCTGTTTTTTATTGTTTTGCCAAATTTGTCATTTTTAACATACCTCAATTGATATTTTTTTTCCATTTTTTGTGTGCTTTTTTATTTTTTTTGAGTAATGTTACTTTCTATTTCATTTTTTCTGAAATGTCCTTTTTTTTTAAAAAAAAATGTTATACGAAATTTTCTTATGTGTGAAAAAAGGTTTTACGCCTAAAGCTCCAACAAAAAAAATAGAGACAAATATAGAAATGATAATATTAAAGTAACGAATTAAAATGAAATAGTAGGCGTGAAAAGAAAAATGAAGTGGTTAAAAATTAATAATCTTATGGAAATAGTTTGGGTTAATTCTGGAATAATAAGGATGTTTAAAAAATAAATTTAATCATTTTAAAATTATATGAGGTGTAAAGAATAATGAGTGTAAATAAGACTGCCCTTACGTAAATGATAATTGTAATATTATTTTAACTTAAAATTTTTGAATTAATTCACACGTCCTAGAAAAGAAAACTCCTTGATCCCATCAGGCCGAATGTCCGAATTAAATGTATAATCTCCCTATGACTTAATTAATTTATTAGGCTACATTTATCCTTATGAGCCATGAATATGTTCTACAAGATAGTTATATGAGAAAAGAAAAAACATACAAACAAACTCAACCACTGCACAATAGAAAATTTCCCTTTCAAAAAAAAAAAAAAAAGAACGAAAAAGATTGCAAGTTGCAAAATATCTATTATTGCCTCGTTCACTTCGCGGATTCGAGTTTTCAATTTGAGTTGAGATGTGATATTTTTGAGAGCTTTTTACTGTAATAGAAATTTTAATGTAATATTTTCTAAGAGCTTTTTACTGTAGAAATTTAAAACTGAAAATTCGAATCGGTTTATGTTCTATATATTATCGTGCAGGACAATACAAATTACTCCTGTTTCCTATGCTTGGTACAGATAAAGATTTTTCATTCGTGATGATCCTTTAAACATTTTCCACGGATGCTTCCATGAAGCAAAGATGCATTTGTGTTCTAAAATAAAATAAAATAAACTATTTGCAAATAAAATAAACTATTTTGTGTTGTGGCGTCCTTTCTGGTTTGAGTGAGACGCATAACAACTAACTTACGTTTAACCTTTGCATGTAAAAGTCACGTGTTTCTTTAATTCTTTTAGGAATGGTGGGCCAAACCTCTCCAAAATTACATAAAAAAAAAAAGAAAAAAAAAACACTCTTCGACATTATTGTATTTTGGTTTCTTTAAAAGATGTGAAATTGGGTCTCAAATCTCCTGCCCCTTGGTCCCCCCGGAGAGACGCTAAAGGCTTCTCTTTATCTTAGGATCATGGTATATGATGGAGAATATTATTTAGCGCATTATTTTTAGACATGACCTTTAGAGTGTGTTTGGTACGAGGGAAGGAATGATAGAGGGATGGATTAAGAGCCGAAAGTGAAATTTAACCTTGTTTGGTAGGATGGAAAGAGGGGAGGAGGGGAAAGAGCAAGGGGTTGTAAATCTCTTGGGGCCCACAAATTCTTATCCTTCCAAAAATGAGCGGATTAGAAAGGGTTGAAGAAAAAAATGACTACTATTTTCAAATTGACCTATGTCAATTTAAGAATTTCCTAAATTTTTGGGGTTATAATTTTTGAGAAGGCTTTTGCCTTCTACTAGATGTAAGTATTTTTGCAAGTGTATAACGTTGATACACATTTTAAGAATTTCCTAAATTTTTGGGGTTATAATTTTTGAGAAGGCTTTTGCCTTCTATATACTAGATGTAAGTATTTTTGCAAGTGTAAGTATTTTTACAAGTGTATAACGTTGATACACATTTATATATTTACATTATATAGACACAAATAAAATATGTCTACATATGTGTGTACATTTGTATTATAAAGCAAATCAATTTTAAATACAATAAAAATAAAAGATTTCAAGTAAATATAATTACTTTCAATAAAAGGGTAAATACGTAACTTTATCAATAAAATCAAATCTTTCCCTTCTTGTTTCCTTCTAATACCAAACAATAGAAAGGAAAGTCATTATCTTTCCTTCTTATCATACCAAACAACTTTGAGGAAACTCGCAATCCTTCCCTCCCTTCTCACTTTCCCTCCCCTCATATCCTATCTATCCCTCCATCAATCCATCCCTTCTACCAAGCGGACCCTTAGTATATGTTATAGATTCTGCCATATTGAAATATGATATATAGTTTTATAAATAGGTGAATTTTGTTTTAGGATATGAAAAAAATCAAAAAACGACCTCATCAATGAGATACACTTCTAAGCCAACAAAATCAAATGAGATTAAATAATAGTATTATAGTTCAAGGGACTTTCTTTTGTAGACATCTTTATCGATAGTGTTAATTTCTAACTGTTAAATCTGATTAAAATCACATCAGACTAAAAAAAATATGTAAAATAGATAATTTTTAATGTAAAATTGACGGTTAATGAATTTAATTTTTCTAGTCCAACCTGAGATACTCTCATAGTTCAATATATAGTTAGTAAAAATTTAATGATTTAATACTATGCTAAGTATATAATTTTGTTTTTCGTTGTCTTGTTAGAATTCTCCTTAAATGCACTAATCACTGCCATTGTATTTTACAATTTTAATACTTTTGAAAAGTAGTAATTATAGAGAAATAATGATTTGTTATACACGGGGTTTTTAGAATATTTACTCCTTAAATTTGTCGTGATTTAGCAAATTGTACCTTCAAACTTTTAATTTTGATAAGTTATTTTCTCAATTTGTAAAGTGGTTGCAATTTACCCCATTTTGATGACTATTGTGTTAAATTAATGTCGAAAAAATAAATTAAGCCAAAAATTTAAACATTTCAATTCAAATGTAACACAAAATTTTCAATATCTCAACTTTTAATCCTTAAATCTAATAAAAAATTTGAACAAATTTAGTTAAATGGGGGCACATTGTAACAAATTTACAAGTTTGGGGGATATTTTGTTAAAATTAAAAGTTTATAAGACAATTTTCTAAACTACAATAAGTTTGGGGGCAATTGTGCTAAAAAACCGTTATACGCGTTTAAGAAAAATATAAGCATTATTTCTCTTTTAAAATCAACAAATAATAGGTATAAAGTTGGATAAACTTATTTGAAATGCTCGGTGATAGAGTATGAAATTTCTTTCGGTAGCCTGTGAGAGAGTTTGAAATTTCTTTCGGTGGGGCTATTATATATAAAGTAATTTAGAAACTTTTTTACTCAATAAGAATATAATATCTAATTTTTGTTTTTGGAATGTGAGTATAATATCTATCTGAATTATATATTGGGAGAAGAATGTCCAAACAATGAAACTTGATGAGTTAATGGGTTCTTTACGAACTTTTGAGATGAATTTGGATGAAAACAAGGAACGAAAGAAGGAGAAAAGTATTGTCTTTCAAACCAAAGTTGATTCTGATGATGAAGAAGACTTGGCCTAGTCCATAACAAGATTGTCGAAGAAATTCAACAAGGTGATGAAGAAGGTCAATAGGAAGAATAAGAATTCAAGAAATGACAACTCCAACAACTTTCAAAAGAGTAAATCTGCAGCAAATAACACAGAATTGAAGACAAAGAATAGATGTATTCAATGCCGAGAGTGCGACGAATATGGACATATTCAATCCGAATGCGCCAATACCCTCAAGAAGAAGAAGAAGAAGAAGTTGTTTAATGTTACGTGGAGTGATGAAGACTCTGAAGGCAGTCAGGAGGATGAAGACCATGTGAGTAACTGTGTTGCTTTCAATGTTTATACTGATCAAGGTGTTTCTGCAGACAGTGTTACAAAAGGTGTCGCAGATAGTGTTGCAACACTGCTTGTAACAGATTCAGTGAACAGTGAAAACGAAGGAGATTTTTCAGATTCTGAAAGTAACAATGATGGTGAGGAGTTGACTACTGATGTCATACAAGAATCTTATAAGACCATGTTCAGCAAATGGGTTAAAGTGTGTGAAATAAATAAGTCTCCACGGGAGCGCGTCGATGATCTTATCAAAGATAATGATGTATTGAAGAGAGCTGCTGATAATTATGAATTGCTTGCTGTAGAGAGAGAAAAGAAATTGAAGGAAACAAGGGCTGAACTGGAGAGCACTCAGAAAAATTTGAAGATGATGAATTCTGGCACTACCAATGACGGAGTCTTTGAGTGTGTAAGACCGATTGGTGTTTGTAATCTCTTTATCTTAGTAGATTGTTCATTGTCTGGACGTGGCCCCACAGAGTAAGTGTGCGCACCGAACTGCGATACTATTTTCGTGTGCCTTTATTGTTTCTGTATTATTATTTTTCTGCATAACTTCTCTGTATAGTTATTTACTGAATACAAAGTCTGAAATACTTTACATATCTCCAGTGTCACAACCAATGTTGTAACATCACTTATGACACCGACTGAAAAACGGACCTAACAATAAGAAATATATTTTCACCCACCAACAGTAGTACAATTAGCACGTTTTTGTAATAGGTTCTGTGCAGATTATTTATACCTTGACGGCAGTATTATAATCGACTAATTCCAACTCACACTCCACACATTATGACATTAATGGATCTCTCCAATAATGCAGCCTTGTTCAGCAGCATATTTAAGTACAGCTAGTCCCTACTCAATTTTTTTTTGAAAAAAAATATTATTTTTAAAAATTTTAAAATTTTATATTTATATTTTTACTAAAATAATATAATTCTCATTAAAATAAATATATATTTTTTATATATTTTATTAAAATAATTTGTTAAAAAAATTTTAATGTACACTCCTACTAAAGTTTAAGTGAAAGGTTGGTTGTTGCATTCTCTCATTCACTTTGTAGATTTGAATTTTCAATTTAAATTGAGATATGACATTTTTTTAAAATTTTTTACTGTAACAGAAAAAATTAAATGTTATATTTTATGAGAATTTTTTATTATAAAAATTTAAAATTAAAAACTCGTGAAATGAACGAAACCTTAATTCTCTCTCATCTTCTTCAGGCTTTTCTCTGAAACTCAACCCACAATACGGCAAAAACTAACATAACACCCCAACAACGACTCCCCACAAAATCAAGAAAAATATCACCATCGACGAGAAAACATGAGCTTTGCTAACTGTTCAAAAATGGCACCACTCGGTTCTGCTCTCTGTCCATCAACTTCTCTCTTCTTCTGTAAAACCAAACACCAAGTTTTCAAAATCAGCTCACAACCCAGAAAGCGCATTCTCGAGATTTGCGTGAATTCCAGCTTCTCAAGCAAAAACAGTAAACTCAGAGCAGTTTCTGAAGTCTCTGCCAAAGAAGCAACGAGCTTTGGGTTCAAAAACTTGACAGAGACTTTCTGGGTGGATGTGCAGAGAGCAGAGGAGAGACCTTTAAGGGTCAAAGTAGTCAATAATAATGATCCATTTTCCAGAAACGTGGAAAACGTGGCAATTAGAGTTGAGCTGAGCAATGGTTGCGTCGGTTGGGGCGAGGCGGCGGCGGAAAACTTAGCGGCGGCTCTGGCTAAGGCCAAGGAGGCGTGTGAGTTTCTGCGGCGGAGCCCGGCCATGACTTTGAATTCGGTGTTTGAAGAGATTGGCGGGATTCTTCCTGGACAGGAATTTGCTTCTGTGAGTCTGCCACACTGCCACTGATAACGATGTTGTCTTGTCTTGTCTTGTTTTGCTTTTATTATTATTACCTTAGCTTTTGATAATTTTTGTGGTTTCTGATAATGATAAAATACCTTAGAAATCTCCTCTATTTTTTTAAAAAAATGCTGATTTTTTTTTTAATCGCCGAAGTTCATTTGTTTTACTTTTCTTATCAGTCAAAATTCACCTAATATCATGTTTAGCTAAGATTAAATTTGCGAACAAGACACAATTGTGAATTACTCTTAATAATAAAAAAAAAAACGAGTGTTATCCGATAGAGAAATCTAAGGGCTGCAACTTTAATCTTCAGTTGTCTGGCATTTGAGAGTAATCAATTTTGATTTTTTTTTTTTTTTTTTTTTTGGAAAAGTTTTATATTTTTTTCCCTCATGCTAGACACAGTTTCTTTTATACATCGTAAAAAAAAGAGTCTTTTTATATAGTTAATTTTAACTAAATGTGACAGGTGAATTTTATGCGTTCAGAAAAACGTAGGGTATACTCTTGAGCATTTATGAAAACAAAGTTAATTATTGCGTTTCGATAAAACTCGGGGAGTTTTGTTATCATCCCTTTTTTTTTAATTACTGTTTTTAGGCTCTATTTATTTCGCCGATTCGAGTTTAGAATTCGAGTTTTGCTACAGTAAAAAGCTCTTAAAAATAATCACATCTAATTTTTTTGCTACAGTAAAAAGCTCTCACATAAAATCATATCTCAACTCGAATTAAAAACTCAAATCAACGAACTGAACGTGCATGAACTAAAGCCAGACTTCTGTAACATATTAGGAACAAATTGTAGAATTAATTTCTTAAAATGAAACGTGGAAGTGAAAATAAATGATGTGTTTGTCTCTTTCTTTAGAGTGCTAACTACTTAGATACTATTTTTCTTTCATGAGTCACGACCATAGTACTATGAAGTTTTAAATTCGAAAATTAAACAATTTTCATAATACTACCTGTTTTGATCACGTTAGTTAAATTGTTTCAAAGTTCATACAGAAAGATTCCACCTGACTAACGACATCCCTGTTTTTGTTTTGTTTAGATTTTCTTTGCTTTGATTTCCGTTTTACTTTTATGTCCTTTAACAAGTTTTCTGTATAGTGGATATTGCAAGTACTAGTAAAGAAAGGAATTGCTAAAACTTTTTGTATTTTGTATTTTGCATTTTTATTTGTTTTGCTTACTTCTGTTTCTCACTTGATTATACCCCGTTTAGTTCACTATTTTGAATTTTATTGATTTGAACTTTTTAATTTAAACAGAAAAATTTAAACTGTTTCGTTTAAATTATAATTTAAATTAACGTTTACATGTATAGTTAAAATTTTTATTTAAACATAAGATAAAATTCGAATTTGTGTTTGGTAAGTGTGAAAAACAGAAAGAGCAAGCACTTTTTAGTGTTCAAAAATAGTTTGAACGGTTGAACTTAAGGGAGAACTAGACTCTAAATTAGATTGTTTAACTCAGTTCAAACGATCAATACAATTCAAAGTACATGCTAATTAAACGCTAATTTAAACTATACTCACTGTTCAAACTGAATTCAACTTAACTAAATTAGTGAAATAAACTGGGGCCTATAATGTTTTGCCGTCTTTCTTCACTGACTCATGTGTTTTGAAGGTCAGGGCAGGAGTGGAAATGGCACTGATTGATGCTGTTGCTAACAGCATTGATGTGCCTCTTTGGAGATTATTTGGCGGTGTTTCAAATAGCCTAACAACTGCCATAACAGTTAAGTGTCTGACATTCTAAAATTAAAAGGAAGTTAATCCGGTCTCATTGAATGTTAGTGTTTCAAACTTCACTTTGTTGTTCACAAGGGTTTGAGCTTCTGGCTTTGTCCAATCTACAGATTCCAATTACGTCGCCAGCTGAAGCTTCTGCAATGGCCTCAAAGTACTGCGCAAAAGGATTCGATACTATGAGGTTTAACTTAAGATTGAATCTAATTGAAGAGTTGAAAGTCATTAAAGCGGTACAGGTCGCTCAACCTCATTGCTTATTTATCTTGGACGCAAACGAAAAGTACACTTTGGAAGAAGCTCTTATAGTTCTCGAGAAGTTAGATGGTATGATACAAGCGGAAAACTCTACCCATAACAAAATATTATCAGCAAAAAATTGCCATTGTCTTTTGGTCTAAGCTTTATTTATAATCCTCATCAGAACCTTATATTGTTCTTTGCACGCAGAGATGGGTATAAAGCCGATTCTCTTTGAGCAACCAGTACACAGAGATGACTGGAATGGTCTTGCTAACGTTCGTGGCATTGCTAGAGAAAAATACGGAATACATGTTTCTGCAGACGAAAGCTGCCAGACTTTGATTGACGTTCAGAAAGTTGTCCAAGACGATATTGTGGATTTTGTCAACGTGAAACTGGCTAGATTTGGAGTTCTGGGCAGCCTCCAAGTAGTTGAGATTGCAAGAAAATCAGGGCTGAGTCTTATAATTGATAGCATGGTTGAGACTAGACTTGCCAGTGGCTTTGCTGGCCATTTGGCTTGTGGGCTTGGCTGCTTCAAGTAAACTATCCTTGTTGTGTCTTAATTTTTTGTGGATGTTCTAGCTAGTTGTGTTATTGATTCTGATTAAGCCATCTTTCAACCTCTTTTAATTTTCAATGGAACTTTCATGAATAGAGGTATAAAATGAGGTTTTTCACTCGATTTTGCAGGTACGTGAATCTAGATGCGCCTTTTATGCTTTCAGACGATCCGGTTTTTGGTGGTTATGAAGGTACAGATTGAGTGAATCCTGGAATTTTTGAGGGAGTCATATAATGCTATTGGTTGCAGTTTTCAGGGTGTCTAAATTCGATTTTGCTCCAACCTTTTTGTCTCTAGTTTCTGGACCGGTTTACAAGTTCACTAATGCGAGAGGCCAAGGTGGTTTCCTTAAGCAGGACGCTGTTGCCCAGTGAGTTACCACTACTTTTCCCTGGCTGTTCAAAATCTAGCTAGCTTTTTTGCTTTCTGCATAAATTTTGTGATCCAAGTTCAATATACATATTTTTGAACTTGATTCTACGATATACTACTCTAACCAAGTTTTACAAAGTAGTATAAAAAACTATACTTGTAGTTTGCGAATTTGTTTTGACATATAAGTTAAACTCTTGAGGCTTGTTCTTTTAGATCAAAATTCAAAAAAAGTTTAAACTTAAGTTACAACTTTATTTAAGTTCATGTTTTTTTTGTAAAATTTAAGTTTAAACTCGAGTTTTAACTTGAATTTGGGGCTAAGATCTGAACTCAAGTTTCTTCTTTAACTCAAGTTAATGAATAATATTTTTTTTATTCTTAAAAACACCAAAACTTTTTCGTTTTAATTCTGATTGAGATGATTTTCTTTTCTATGCGTTCACAATGAAGAGACGAATAAAACTTCATCCATATACTCTATTAAAATTTTCCATCACTATTGAGTTTTTATTAAAATACTATCTAAATACAAATTCAAGTTTTGACCCACCAAAACACAAACTCAAATAGATTCTCAATTCAAACCATAACTCAAATGTGCATATCCAAACATAAACTCAAGTTACAACTTTAACTCAAATTCAACTCAATCATAATTCAAAAATGCAACCGAACAAGCTCTTAGGCTATGATCTCCCAACAAAATTTTTGAGTTGGAATTTATCAGTGGTCATTTGACTCTTCTTGTTCATCATGCCTAGTTTGGCACTCTTCTGTACGTATGTTGACGGATGATGTCAGTCTCAGTCGGAAAATAGGAACATTGATGATTCTCTTTGGACCATTTGTCTTAATGTTTACCTAAATCAACTTGCAATATTGCACTAATAGATTGGCTTATTTTGCCCACTTTTGTTGATGAGATATTGCAAGTTTAGATATGCACTAGCGGGTTAATAGCTCAATTAGTTCTTGAACTTTGAGCATGGTAATATTTTGATCTCTGAATTTTTAATTTAAATATATTTAGTTCTTAAATATTAAATTTTTTGACAGTTTTGATCATTAACAGTAAAATTGACGAACGATTTTTGAAATTTAATAAAAATAAACATGTATTTACCGCGTGGTAATTTAAAATTTTATGAAAAGAGTTGTGTAATTGAAAAAATTTTCTCCTTATTATTATTAAAACCTATTAAAAACTATAATATTTTGCGCATACCACAACTTTTTTATGCAAAATTTTCTGTCATTATAATGACATGATTATCCAGGTAAAATTTCAGAAATTGTTTGTCAATTTTACGATTAGGTACCAAAACTCTCAAAGAAATGAAAGTTTAATGACTAAAGATGCTTAAATTAAAAATTTGAAGATCAAAATGTAATTATGCTTAAATTAAGTTCGGATTGCCATTTAGTAGAGACAAGTTTTGACTTTAAGCTTCATTGGGGGTTTTTTTTTTGGAAAATAATAGAAAATAGGCCAATATAAAAAGCTTAAAAAAGTATATAAGCCAATTTTTAGTTATATAAATTAATAGGCCATAACTTGTCAAGTTGTGGTTCATAACCAGATAAGTTATGGATAAATTTGTCAAGTTATGGTTCATAGCCAAACAAGTTACGGATAAAAACCGTGATTTATGGACAATAACTTGTCAAGTTATGGTTCATAACCAGACAAGTTATGGACGAAAACAGTAATTTGACCTATATATTAACTTATGTAAACTATTGACCTATTAATTTTAATTCATCTCAAATCTTAGCTTATTTTCCTCTTTCTCCCCCTTTTTTTTTTCCCTAACAAAATGATACTCTTTGCAGAAAATTGTAAAGGAGCTTATGGGGAGCTCGTTTAAACTTTTGGGTTTCAGATGTAAATGTTTTCTGGACTAAAGCAGGTATATCAGTAACATTTCTCAGCCTCCAGGCCCAGGGGAATCTCTTTAGCCCCTTCCCTTGTCAAGAATATTTATGTAAACTGGACATAACAAACTTCCATGCCGTTATTTGCCCCACATAAAATTTAAAAAAAAAAAAAAAAAGAGTGAATCTCGTTTTTAGTCCTCAAGCTACATGCTAAATCTCATTATGGTCCTCAATTTCCAAAATGTTCCCTGATCCATTTGACTGTTAAAATCTTTAAAAAAAAAAAAGTACTAGAGGACTATATATATACGGTTTAGTAGGAATTAATTTTATCATTTTTACATATTAGGGCACGATTGTTAAGAAAGAAACTGTGTTTTTTTTTTTTTCTTTAAAATTTTATCAATTGGATGAAACGAAATGAGTAATTTAGGATAATTATGTGGATATAAGGGACCCGTTACAGGATGTTTTAAAAATCAGGGGATGAAATCAAATTTGACATATAGTTCAGGGATTAAAAATTAGGCTAATACGAAAAATGTATTCACCCAGTATTCGAGCTGCGAAAAGATCACGCTTCAAAATTTAGTTCATAGCAGTCTTGAAGAGGTTATTACTTAAAGGACTGTGGGTAAACTCCTTTTAGTGTAATACTTAGAGCATAAAAAATACAATGCTATAATTGATGTATCAATTATAAATTTAATATTTGAGTGTAAAAAAAAAAACACTCTAATATAATAGTATTTGTTGTACTAAATTTCTTATACGCTATACTTTATAATAAATTTCTCACTAAGTATAGTATATAAAAAATTTAATGTTTGATTGTTATTAATTGAAATGTTTACTTTTTCATGTAATCATTATAATTTTTAAATTTTATAATTATTTTAAAAATAAATGTTTACTCGTACAACTTTCAAAGCTTAATCATTTCAAAAAAAAAAGTGAATTTATCATTTTAAATAATATTATGCACTGGAGTAAAAATACAAATAACATATCATATCATACATTTTAATGTTAAATATATTAGTGTTTGTATTGGAAATGATTTTAGTGGTAATGTTCAAGTATTTTGTAGTAGGTAGCATCCATTACATTTTGAGAAAGTTGTTTCCCTTTGTGTAATCTTATTAGTGCAGAAAGGTGAACAGCAAGGCCAAGAATTACAAAATTAAAGTTCAATGGGTTTATCATTTTGACTTTTTGGCTGGTTTATTGTTTGCCAATTATTCAAAGTCCTAAAGACTAAACCAATAGATTAATCCACGGGAAATAATTTTTTATAGATTAGGAAATTATAGTGTGTATGGTGGAATGTAGCCGAAAAATGTATTTAATTTTAGCCAAAGTCTAATGCTTGTAGTTGGTGGAAACGGAATAATCAGATTGCCATGAATAGATTTCAGAACTTGAAGGATTATGCGTTTTACCTGATTGTTATTACGACAGTGGGAAAATAAAAAATAAAATGCTAAAAATGAAGTTCTCGAGTGGGTAGGCCATTCCATTCATTATCTGGTCCTACGTTGAATTTGCACGTTTACATCCACGCCAATCCAATCCACAATGCATTGAAATTAGATCCAGTTCAATCAGTAAAGAAGTTTGGAGCTCTATGCCTATCTTAGGTAACGTTTGGTAAGTAGATTCGTATTCTAATTTAAATTATGGTTCGTTATAGTGTTTTCTCTCAAAAAAATACACGTAAATTAAAAATGATTCTAATCCATGAACTAAACGTCTCCTTAATTTTATATTATAACAGGATTTGTTTCTACAGCTCATTATATATATATATATATATATATATATATATAGTATGATTCGTTGAGCTTTTCAGAGAATTTATTCTAAATTAGCTAAATATAATAAGTAAAGAGTGGTTAGTCATTTATTTTATTATTGTTTTATTATTTCAAAATACAATAAATGTAAATGTTTTTTTAAAATTAAATAAAGTTATTCGTATTTTAAATTTAATAAATATTAAAACAATCTATATTTAGTTAAAATAAAGAGCATGATTAGAATGACTTATTAAAAAATTGATAGTTAAAATAGTTTTCTAATAATTTTAATTAAGATTTAACTAAAATTTAAAGAGTTTCGTTAGAGATACTCTAATGACATGTTTTTTTTTTATGAGTTTAAGTAAGTAATTTTAATTTTAAATTTTAATTTTATAAAATAATCTATTAACAAGAATTTTATTTATTTAATATTTTTATGAAAGAACAGAATTAAAATTATGAACTTATCATTTTACCGAGCATCATTTTATTAGACACTGACAACTGACCATTCTGGTTTTGTGGAGGCGCCAATAAATATCTCATGTTATTAATTATTGGCATGTGGCCCCCGATTAAAATGTTTAGCTGGACAAATTATCTAGCATTCAAAAATTAAGACCTCATTCATCTTATCGATTTGAGTTTTTAGTTTTAGATTTTTACAGTAAAATTTTTTTAAAAAATGTCACATTTAATTTTTTTTATTATAGTAAAAAATTCTTAAAAAATATCACATTTAAACTCAAATTGAAAACTCAAATCTGTAAAATGAACGATTAACTGACTAGCTAATGTCACATCAACATATTTATTGTTAGCAAAATCAAGCTGTCCAACTAGCTGGCGGTTCGACGGTCAATTACAAGGACGAGGTCTCGATTACTTGTTGCCCCTAAGTATATCTGTTTTTCGCCTTATCAATGTGAACCATTTGATTTTGTGTATATCAAATCCGTATCTTGAATTGGTTAATGCTCAATTTTGATAATAGTAAAAAATAATGAAAAATATATGTATTCAAGAGGAAAAAAGAAAGACGAAAAGAAGAGGGAAAAAATTTAAAAAATCTTCAAAAAAAAGTAAATATTAATCTTGAGTAAGCAGAGGGTTTGTTCGGTTGTGTTTTTGAGTTATAGTAATTTGTATATAGATATTAAGTTGAATTTAAATTATAATTTGAGTTAAAGTTATAATTTGAATTTGTATTTGAATGTGCACATTTGAGTTATGATTTGAATTGAAAATCTATTTGAGTTTGTGTTTGAGTGTGTTAAAATTTGAATTTATATTTAGATAGTATTTTAATAAAAACTCAATGGTGATGAAAATTTTTAATAGGGTATATGTGTGGGGTTTTATTCGTCTTTTCGTTGTGAACAAATAGAAAAAAAATAATCTCAATCAGAATTAAAATAAAAAAATTATGACGTTTTTAAGAATAAAAAAAAATTATTCATTAACTTGAGTTTAATTTTAGCCCTAAATTCAAATTAAAACTCGAGTTAAAACTCATATTGAAACTCAAATTTTATAAAAGAATATAAACTTAAAAATAATTGTAATTTGAGTTTAATTTTTTTAAAAAAATTTTATTCTAAAGGAACAAACTCAGAGTAAAAATGAAACTCATAAGTGATTGCATTGCAAGAGAGAGATGTTTTGGCTTGAATTTTTCCGAAAAATACTACCTATTTTATAGAATTGCTGAATTAGGACACGTTTCATGCATTTTGCTGAGACACCAATCAAATTATGTAGGTCTCGTTAATTTTACTGATTTGAGTTTTCAGTTTTAGGTTTTTACAGTAAAAAATTCTCAGAAAATGTCACATTTAATTTTTTCTATTACAGTGAAAAATTTTTAAAAAATGTCACATCTCAACTCAAATTAAAAATTTAAATATGTGAAGTGAAAGAAAGAGTCAAATTCTTTGGGGAAAAAAAAAATTGCCGGTTGTAAAATAGAGTTCATATAATGATTCCTTCACTGTAACGTGTGAGTAGAGAGGCCGAAAGACATGTGAACGTGGCTTCATTAGCCAAATGACAAAAATGCAAAAGTTGAAAAAGAAGGCACGTGATTTTCTACTTTTCGGTGTTGACTGTTTATGGGCTGAACAGTGATCACATGAACACATCGAAACTTACCAGAGATTCTGCCGCATAACCTGGGCGCTTTCCTTTCTAATGGCTCCAAAATGTCATTAATCCTAAACATGAAATGTAACTGCACACTTGTTGAAATCATTGCATAAAAGATATTCGAGTCTTGTATTTTCATGTTTCTTCAATAGAGCTTCTATGATAAGACTAGAAAGTTTCGTTCATGGGAGTTTTTTTTTTTTTTTTTTTTTTAAGATTAAATGACTGAATTATTAGTAATTTTTTATTTTTAACGGTTAAATTTATATTATAAATTGTTTATTTTATATATTTTTTTAATTTATTATAATTTTAATTTGATCCAGCGTTTATCAATAAGACTGCTCTATTAAAAAAAACTCCATTCTTTCTCTCAAATAATAATAATATATCAATTAAAATATCAAGTCAGATTAATTAAAAAATTGTTTGATCTAAGATATTTTAATTATCATCTCATGTTGTTATTGAAGGAACGTCTGAAGAAAGGACAAAAAAAAAAGGAGGAAGAAAGAAAATGTGAATCAAATATGCATAATGGTACCCTTAAAAATAAAAAAAATAAAAAAAATCTGCGTAATGGTACCTTAAAAAAATCTTCATAATGGCCATTTTTATACATACCCAAATTGTGGACCATTAATTAAGACTAAAAGCTCATACCAGAGCATTTCTTACATAAGATTCTAATATTGGGGTAAAAACACTAAACAGTACTGAAAATTTAGCCTTGTGCTGCTGTGCCGTTGTGCCAAAAAAAAAAAATCATAATTTGGCCTTTTTTTTGTTTGGTAACGTGGAAGAGTTAACCATGATTAGGTTCACATTTGTGGGCCATAAAATTCCCTTGAGGGAAGAAGTTAAATTATGCTAAACCCAGTAATATGCACAAATAAGTATTGACATTATGAGCACCGGCTTTCTTTGGGATAAATCTAGGGGCCGTTTCGCTTATTTAAATTTTTAATTTGAATTAAAATGTGACTTTATGTGAAATTTTTTTACTATAATAAAAAAATTAAATGTGATTATTTTTAAAAATTTTTTACTATAACAAAACTCAAATTCTAAACTAGAATAAGTGAAATAAAGGGAATCCTAATTTGTTCGGCACACAATTGTTGAAGAAGTGAAAGTTAAAAAGCGACTCTAAACTGCAAGATCATGACCAAGAAAATTAATATTAATTTGTCATAATAATGATTTCCACTTAATGGGTGTGCTTGGTCATCAATTCCTTCTCGTTTGGTTTACATTCCTTATCACTTAAAAGATTGTATCATGTGACCCAACTAATTCAACATAAGTGTATCATGTGGTACTGTAACGTATATAATAGTGGTAGCTATTTATCATCACGATGTTTATTGAATATATCTCGCACTAAATAATGTTATTATAGGATTTAGCACTATCCTAAAATGCTAAAACCATAAATAGACGCACCGCAGTATTTCTCAAGTGGAATCTACTTTTTCCACAATCGACTAAAATTCCACAAAAAAATAAAAAATAAAAAAGAGTAACTGGATATTTATTTTTTGTATTTATTTTTAATTTTAAATTATAATTTATAATTTCTTTTATAATACTTTTTTTTTAAAAAATACAAAAAAATAAAAAAAAATTTAAATCATAATTTTAAATCTATAAACTAAACGTCCGTCAGCGTTTATTAACAGTTTCGGTAGTAAGTATTTGTCAGTTTTCCTCGAATTAATTTGCTTTTCTTTCAGCTGAAACTTCCAATTTTCACCGGAGGCAATTGATCCCAAGTCTCATCTATAAATGCCACACAAACCACCCTGGTTAAATGCACCACAACATTTCAACACTACTCGTCTCTCTCTCTCTCTCTCTCTCCACTCATCCTCGTCTTATTTTTCCCAAATCAGAGTTGAAATGAAGAAGTTTTCCTGCTTAGCACTCTTAGCCTTGGTGGTGGCCGTGGCGACGGTGTTTCTTTCTAAAGCGCCAGTGGCAGAGGCTGCGACCTGTAGCGCCGTGGCGCTAAGCCCGTGCTTGTCGGCGATCACCGGGGGAACGGCGCCGTCGAGCGTGTGCTGCAGCAGGCTCAGAGAGCAGAGGCCATGCCTTTGTGGGTACCTGAAGGATCCCAACCTCCGCCAGTATGTCAACTCTCCTAACGCCAAAAAAGTTGCCTCCGTCTGTGGTGTTTCCTACCCCAAGTGTAGTTGATTGCCTGCAGAAATCAGAATATATATTAGTAAGAAATAACTATTTATGAATAAAATCCAGTCTAAAATATTTGTATGCCTAGTGCAAATTAGTGAAATGATAATGGATGGCTTACGTTCCGGTTCCTACAATATCACGATGATACATGTATAAACAACAGTTTGTATTGCAATTAACACGGTTCATTTTGCTGATTCGAGTTTATAATTTAAATTTTTTTACAGTAAAAAATTTTTATAAATAATTATATTTAATTTTTTATTATAATAAAAAATTATCACATAAAATTACATCTTAATTCAAATAAAAAATTTAAATTAACAAACTAAATAGACTCTAATAATTATGTTCTTTTATTTTCTTTCAAAGAGTGATTAATTGCAGGGTTTTTTTGTTTTTCCTTTTTTTTTTTTTTTTTTTGAAAGAGAGATGAATTTTTAACTCAAAAACATGAGACGAAATCCAAGATACAATAATGATGAAACTATGCGAAAAAGGCAAAGCCTCAAAAGAATACCAAGAAACACTTTTAGCTGAAGCAGTACAAAGAAAGAGCAGTAAAAAATGGGCCGCCTTAATTTCTTAAACAAAAAAAAAAAACAGCTGTAATCAATCTTAGACAGGGAAACGCCCAAGGAGTGAGGCTAGGCCCAAGAGTTCTAGTTGTAACCAAAAAAAAAAAAAAAAAAAAAGGTACGGTACTATCTTGACAGCGCCACCAATGTGGAAGCAGAGAATCTTTGGCAAAAGCAGATTAGCAGTTGTCTGCAACGCCTTGTAGAAAGCTCTCCAAATTAAAATTTAGCGTGTTATATAAATATTTAAGCCTTTAATTTTTAATTTTTTTAAGAATTTTTAATTATAAAAAAAATTAAATGTGATATTTTTAAAAAAATTTTAATTATAGAAATTTAAAATTAAAATTTTAAATCGATAAAATAAATAAAATTTTAGTCTTGAAAAATTATAAACAATGGGTTAGGGAGGTGGAGGAAGGGACCGAATAGATACCACTCAAATTTCATTCGGAGAAAACACACAAAGATTCCTCGGAACACCCACCCTTTCATTTCTGTTCCCCGAAGAACGACTCTTTTATAATTGCCCAACTTGTCAAGGTCAACACCCCAATACAATAGAGAAATTGTAATAAATAGGCCAAGTTTTAAAACTTTTAGAAGGAAATAACTGATTTACCAGCCATTAGAAATTAATTAATTAATTAGGCCATTGTTTAGTTTTAAATATCAAATTTGTCAATTTTACCATTTCTGTCTATTTCGTTTGTTTTGTTTTTCCCCACAAATCCTCTCTCTCTACGTTCGTCTCTCCCTTTCTCCCGTACTCCCTCTCTCTTTCTTTCTCTGTCCACCGACGACCCCTCTCTCTTTCTTCGTTGTTCTCCGACGCACTTCCTCTCTCATCGTCGACGTCGATAGACGACCTTCAAGACGGAGGCTCCTCGCTAGCAAAATCGCGCGGAGGAGACGCGAGCTTCGCCGCTCGCCATCGCGGAGCCGTTACGAAGAAACTTCCATGGCTGTCGCGAAGAATCTCTGGCACGACCTCCAAGGTTACAGCGCTGCTCAATATGGTTACGCCGGCGACGATTTCCTGGGATTTTCGATGGGAAGAGAGAGAGAGAGAGGGAGATGAAGGGGAAACGTAGAAGGAGAGTATTAAGGGCATTTTCGAAATTTTAAGGATTGTTTTTTTACATTTTTCAGTTAAAGTGATTTGAGTAATGATTTTGAGTTGAGTTTAAATTATAATTTGAGTTGATGTTATAATTTGAGTTTGTGTTTGAATGTGTATATTTGAGTTATGATTTGAATTAAAAATATTTTTAAGTTTGCATTTGGGTAGGTTAAAGCTTAAATTTATATTTAAATAGTATTTTAATAAAAACTCAATAATGATGAAAAATTTTAATAGAGTATATAGGTAGAGTTTTATTCATTTTTTCGTTATAAATGCATAGAAAAAAATCATCTCAATTAGAATTTAAACGAAAAGGTTATGATATTTTTAAGAATAGAAAAAATAATGTTCATTAACTTGAGTTCGAGTTTATGAACTCGAGTTGAAGGGAAAATTTCCCATTAGTTCGCTAATTTGAGTTTTTAATTCGAGTTGAGATGTGATGTTGTGTGAGAGCTTTTTACTGTAACAAAAAAGTTAGATTTGACTATTTTTGAGAGCTTTTTACTGTAGCAAAACTCGAATTCTAAACTCGAATAAGCGAAAAGAACATGGCCTTAAACTCAAGTTTAACCCTAAATTCGAATTCAAACTCAAATTTTATAAAAAAAAATATGAACTTAAATAAAATTGTAACTCAAATTTAAATTTTTTTTTAGTTTTATTGCAAAAAATAACCCTGTTCTTCTTTGTACATTTGAATTTACACTTTAAAGACTGTTTACTAACAATTTCAAAATTTTGTCTTATTAATTTTTATTACTTTCTTAATTATGCTTATTTTCCTCCTCTCCCGACAATATCTGTATCACCAAAATTGGGTAATCTATAGGCTTGCGATCGGTAATCTATTAGATGACATCCAATTTTTGATATCAAAGATGACGTCAAAGATATTAAATTTGGTCAAATCTATGATGTAAGTGGTGATGAATAATTTGATAGTGGTCCAATTTTTGACGAGAGTGATGTAGAAAATGATGACCAAAAAATGAATTTTGGTCTAATCTTAAATGAATTTAATGAGAAAAAAAATCATGTATAGGTCATTAGCGCAATCACCGTTAAAAATGTACAAGGGCTCGTGTTAACAAGGTCAACAAATTATTTATTTTAGAGATGAGTCATTCAGAGTTCATGAAGATTGTTCTCTTTTCATACCACTTGAAGCTGCTTCGAATTCAAGGACGAATTCTTTCCACCCACAAGAATGATGCAATGATATAATTAGAAGTACTTTTAAAATAGTGGTAATTATTATGTGAATTTAAATTATTATTAGATATTATTTGAATTTAAAATTGCATTGATTAGATTGAGATTATTAACGTTTAGGTTTTGGAATTTTAGGAAGGTAGTTATCCTTATAATATTTATTTTAGTTATTTTGAATTTAAAATAAGATTACGTTATTAATTTAAGGTTAGTTTTCTTTATTTGATTTTTGAATTGTCTATTTAAAGAAGATTGTAACATTACTATTTTTAGTTGATTGATTAATAAAATTTCGGATTGTTATATTTCTTTACTTGCTTTTCGACATTAGTGGACGTTTAGTTCATGAATTTAAAATTATGATTCAGAACTATTTTCGATTTACGTGTATTTTTTATGAGAAAAAAATATTATAGTGAGCCACGAACCATGATCCGAACCATAACACGAATCCACTAACCAAACACATAATAATTCTTTGAATCAACGAAATATCCGCACTCTCAATTTTTTTGATATTCTTCGCGAATCAACGGACAATAAATTTTATCTTACCTTCTTCTACGTCACATATATATAGGCCAAGAATCATATAGTAAGGAGGCCAAAAGTCATATGTTTCAATAATAAAGTACTATTAATGGAGTGTTAGTTACGAGGTTATGGAATACCAAATACCGATGGTAATAACGAGGAGATAATGAAATTCATGAGGGGTGATAGGAATGTGAACATTCACACTATTGAATCAATTTATTCATCATTTTTTTGTCTGTTTTTTAGGAATATATCTTAGGCATTGTGTTACTACTCACATACATACATATATCCATACATATATACATACAAACACATTGTTTTCCTCTCCTTTTATATAGTGTTTTGTCTTTTATCTCCTTCCTCCGTCTTTTACCTAAACATTGCATCATATGATCATTTTTCTTCTCATTTTTAAACCGTTCATTTTTGAGGTTATCAAAAAGTCAAAAAGTCATACCTTATATTTTGAATTGTATAAAATTTGTATCCACATTTCACATTCAGGATAAATCCGTACCCTTTTTTTTTTGTCAAAGGTTTATTTTACTTATAAAATTGACTTAAATGTCGTTTACATTTTTAATATTTCTTTTTCTTATTCTTTTTTTTTTTTGTTTTAGAGGCGTTTAAGTTCTTTTTTTTTTTAATTTTTTGAACTTCATCAACAGAAAAAAGAGTATAAATTAAGTATAAATTTGAAATCTGAATATATAAATTTTACACGCCAACATACAATATATGATCTTTTAATAACCTAAAAAATGAAGAGCATAATTTTGAAAAAAAGAAACCTATATAATCTATATCTTCCCTCTCTTTAGGATATTTACTAAAAAAAAAAAAAAGGAAAAGAAAATATACAAACAAAAATGCGTGCATTGTGTTTAAATACATAATTTTTTTTTTCTTACGCCCATGTGCACACGCCACACGATCTTCTTTGACATAAGATCTATTTTGTGAAATTTTGACACAGTACACCAAATTTTGCATAAAAATATCATTGCATTGGAGGGAAGTTTTTCTACTAAAATGCCAAAATAGCATTGTAAAGTTAATTTGGCATTATTGTAAAGTTAATTTGCATTGTACTGAAGTTGTTTTTATATTGACTTGCAAAAATCTAAATGATCAAATTGTAGTATTAAGAATCTTTTTGTAATTATCTTTTGTTTTGGAAACGTGGAAAAGTAAGCCATTAGCAAGATCTTATTACAAGGCAATAAATTCCTGCAAGGGGAAATACGTACAATTAGGGTCATCTTTGTTTTATAATTTGTAACATCTATATCTATATTGTTTGAGACTTGTCATGCAAATTTGCATAGATGTATGATTAGAGGATATTGTTGGTTGATGAGAGACTTTACACCGAATGGGAAACCAAAAACGAAAAAAAATATATATTGTGATTAATTTGAAATCTAATATTGTTAATTGCTTTCGCAAGCAATTATCCAAAGAAGGGAAAATCAACAACGACTTTAATCCCCAAGATCATGACCGAAGGAAATGTCAATTCTGATGACAATCAGCCCCGCTCCAACGCTTTCAAATAATTATATCTGATAATTAGGGTTTTTTTTTTTTTTTTTTTTTTTTTTTTTTTTAATTGGGGTTTTTTTTTTTTTTTTTTTTTTTTTTTTTTTTTTTTCAAGTCCAGAATGGAGTCGGCAAAGTTGTGATGAAAGGACTATGCACTGATGAGGTGCTTAATTAGGAGATTGTATGCTAAC